TGAAATATTAAATCATAAAAATTATATATATTATAATAAAAATTAAAAATTATAAAAAACGGTTTTTTATTTTTAAACTTTTAATTGGTTTAAATTTAAAAATAATAAATTTTAATTTTAATTTTGTTAAATTTATTTTTTAACCGTATATAAAACCATTTTTTTAAAAAAAAACATTTTCGTTAATTTTATTTAAAGAAAAAATTAAAAAATTATTTTTTTTTAAAGTTTTTTTTTTAATAAAATAATACTTTTAACAAAAAAGTTATAAAGTTTAAAAATAATAAAATTTTTAAAAATAATTCGATAAAATTAACCATTTTATTTTATTAATTTAAACGTTTAAATATTAAATTTTATACATTAAACTTTAAACTTTAAAAATAAATTTAATATATATAAATATTAACGTAAAACTTTTAAATTTAAAAATTATACTTTTTAAATTTTTAATTTTTTTTTAACTTATTTAACTTTTTTTTTAACTTTTAAACTTATTTTTTTACAAACGTTTTTTTTAAAAATCATTTTTATTATAAAAAACAAGGCATTTATTATGGTTTATATATTTAAAAAAAAAAACGTTTTTTAATTTTCGAACAATTTTTTAAAACCACATTACTTTATTATTTTTCCGAAAAAATATTGCGCTTAAACTTTTTTAATTAATAAGGTAATTGATAAGGTAATTGATAAGTAAATGATAAGGTAATTACGTAAAAAATACGCGGTAATTGCGCGCGAGCGCGGAGCGCGAACGCGCTTTCGGAAAGATATCACGTGCGCGTTTGCGCGCACGTAAAAACGGCCCGCGAGCTTGCGAGCGGCCGTTTTAATAAAATTTTAATATATATAAATTAATTATTTTTTATAATAATATATTATAAAAAATATTATTTTTAATATTATTAATATATTAATATTATTTATTATATTTTCATTTATTTTTAATTTAATTATAAATCATTTATTATAATTATTATTTATAAACATTTTTTTACGTAAAAATAATTACGTGGTAATACGCGATTATTTTTTATATAAAAGGTAATTTTTTTTTAAATAACATTTACGTATATAATTTATCATTTTTACATTAATTAATATAATAACAATTATTATAATAATTTTATTTCGTATTATGTTTTTTTTTTATTATATTATTTTTTATTTATTTAATCCGTACGGATATTTTATTATATTTACATTATTAATAATATTTATTTTATAAAGATTTATTTTTTAAATAAATATTTATTAAAATATTATTAATAAATTATATTTAATTGGTTATTTAACCGTAAAGTTATTTTATAACGATTTATTATTTAAAAAATAAAATTATAAAATTTATTAATTTTAATTAACCATTTATATTTTTATAAAATAATTGCTTACGTAAGTTTTTTTTCATTAAAATAATAATAATAAATAATATATTATTTTTTAAAAATACTTTTATTTTTAAATACCGTTTTTATATGTAAAATTTATTTTTTTAATAATATTATATAATTATAATATATTTACTTTTTAATAAATGTTTTAAAATTTATTTTATAATTTAAAAAATAATATCGGTATTTTAAGTTTTAATTTTAAAGTTATTTTTTTAAAATAAACTTTTAAAATAAATTTTTAATTAAAATTTCGTAATAAACCGCGTAAAATTTATTATAATTTTATTATTTTTACAATTATAAATATTAATAATAATTAAAAATATTTATTAAACTTTTAAAACATAAATTATTTTAAATTAATAAAATAAATAATATTAATTAAATATAAACATTTAAAATAACATTTAAATAAAACACGGTTATAAATTAATTAAAATAAAACTTTAATTATAATAATTAAATAAAATATAAAAAATGTTTAAAATTATTTATAAAATTATTTATAAAATTATTTATAAAATTATTTATAAATTTATTTATAAATTTATTAAAACTGTTATTTATTTAAAAAAAAAATTATAAATGTTACCATTATAACATATAAAACATTAAAAATTTAATAAAGTTATATTTTCGAAATTATTTATAAAAACATCGAGGTAATATCCAGTTAAAAATAACATTTAACGTATTTATACTTAAATTTATTTAAAAAACTTACGCGTTTATCCCATCACGCAATTAACAATGCCATATATACACAAAACAGGCATTTTTCGAAGTGGTTTGCCTTTTGACCGTTAACTTTTCATTTGCACATTGCTCGGGAATGTGCCTTTGTTTGCTAGGGTATATACGCGCTTTATAAGCGTGTTTTTGTAAATTATTCCGTTCTTTTGACCCCAGCTGTTAAATAGCCGCCACTAAGCGACCATTGTGTGTAGTTTAACGAGCATCATCGGAATTATGTTTTAACATCCAAAGACGTCGCGTTTAGCCCCGTGTACAAACTCGTATGGTCGACGGCTTTATGATAAGTATCTTGTAGCCCCTTAAGATTCTTCCTCGCTGCCTTGTCTGTTAAGCGGCGTAAGAATGAGACGCCGGCGTGTTCGTTAGTCTTATAAATGTGGCTAATAGCATCTAAAGGCGTTGCGTTTAACCCGCTGTATGAAATCCGCATCGTCAATGGTCTTATGGTAGGCATCTTATAGCGCATCGAGAAGTAGCTTTTGGATCTCTCCTTGACTGTAGAGTTGTACGGGAAGAGAGCCGTCGCTCCCTCATCAATGTTTATTACATTCTAGTGGTGCAATGCCTCCGGCAAATCGTCACAACTAGAAGATCACAGCTCGTACTGGCTGGATCATTTAACTGAAGCACATACTGTAACCCTTGACGGAACTGCGCGGAGGTGACACCAGTATAAAAATGTTAAACAAATGATCAGTATGGACACCGCGATTTAAAATATGTGCCCTGGACATAGAATATGTATCCTAAATATGGAACAGCTAGCGTAGGCGTGGAATAACTGTCCCAAGTGTAAAATCATTATCGCAGGAATAAATATGTGTCCTAGACATAGACTAGGTATTGTAGGCGTGCAATAAGCCGATGGAGGTCTTTTAACTTCGTATCTTCCGCGTTGTTAGAGTCGCGTCGATTTAGAACCGTATTTTAATCTCGATCCGGCTTGATCTCGCATCGATGGCGGGGATTATCATTGGATTGTCATTAGAGCTACACCCATCGGATAGTTTATACGAATCGCCGAGTCCGTCAGCTCCCCTTTGCTTATTGGCTGTCGATAGAGGCGGGCAAACGAATAGGCAGAATATATAAGGCGTAGAAGCAATCGCAATCGTGTTCTAGTCAGACGAATGAGCCAGGAACTTGGGGCTTAAATGCGGTTGGTGTTTCTTGTAGGGCGTGAAAGCTATGTCTCCTATCTCGTTGGCCGCGTCCGCCGGAAGCCTTACCCTCCTTTTCCCCCAACTTCGGCGAGCGTACGGATTATTGGTTGTAAACTTGGATTGATAAGCATATAGCCCCTGTGTGACATCTGGTAGACGCCTGTGTATTGGTCTCGGATCGCCTAGGCGGCTGGACGGCCATCGCTAATATTTTACTTGACGACGTAAAATTTGTTGATTCCGATAGTAGAGATGAAAGCCATACGTGTCAAAATCCGGTTAGTTAGTCGACACCGAACTCTAGTTCCCGAGTGGGCTTGCACCACCTGATACAGTCGAGCACTACCAGGCTACGCTTCGTGGTGTAGTAGGTTTTGTGGTCGGCGGAGCCTGTTTCACGAGTCGCATGAAACTTAGCCTTCGTATGGTCTCGGTGAAGGCGAAATCGTTGGGGGATCTGCGGATGGAGGGGAATGCGTTAAATGATCGACGATGGGCTAAAAGCGCGGGCAACCGCCACTACTTCTAACAAGCGACGACGAGGTTAATCGAACTTGTGTATATTAAAAACAATTACAATATCATAAGTAAATACCATTATCTTTCCGAAGGAATTATACGTTCAGATCTAAGAAACTGATAAGTAGTTGATAAGGATAAGGTGATTGATAAGGTGATTGATAAGGATAAGGTGATTGATAAGGATAAGGTGATTGATAAGGTGATTGATAAGATAATTGATAAGCTGATAGGAGGTCAACTAGTAAAGGCTTTAACCTAGCTTTTTCATAACTGGATTGTGCTTTTGCTTTTCTGTACCTAGGTAAGTAGGCGAGCTAGAAAGCGTATATCTTCTTTTTTGTGTGCTCGTGGTCGAGCTTTTTGAGTTGGTGGACGAGTTCGAAGCGGCTAATGGTGCCGCCCAGCGGTGCGCCAGGGCTGTCGCCGTCGGGTAGCAAAAGGGATCACAAAAGTTTAATACAAGCCAATGAAGTCCAAACCAATATGCACAAGTCAATAGTTAAGCACAAATCAATGAACAAGCCTAAGTTAATGAAGAAATCTAAGTGAATGGAGGCCAAGTCAATAAGCATAAGTCGAATACCAGTCAATAGGCTATAAGACAGCAACATTACAAGCCCAATTTGGTTATATTAATCATGCATCTAATACCGCTTGCTGTTTTCTACTATTACGAATAATCATATCAAGTCTTGACTCTCTCTCATCTCCTCACTACTCGCCTCCAAGGGCCCAAAGGCCCGAGTCTAAAGCATAACAATAACTATCGACCGAAAGACGGACATGAAAACACAGATTGCCCAGGCGCAAGCTAGTAGATGCAGACAAAGCAGGTGACAGATCGAAACAGATTGCGGGCCGCGGCGCAGGGGATACGGCTGTAAGAGCAAGACAGATGAGAAGAGACAGATAAAACAGAGAGATGAAAACAGACAGGCCGGAAGAGATTCCAGTCAGAGATGAACAGAAGCAGCATCGTCTAGCGTTTCCGAGACGTCTTCTTCTACACGTGGCTTTTTACGAAGCGCCGGGGGGGCATCAAGTTGTAACAGCAAGGAGGTGGCCTACAATTAACACGAGTCAGAGATGAATAGCAGTATACCAAAGGTTACGGGATGACTTACGGGCTGGTTTCTCGATGGCTCATCAACAGCCAAATCATAATGGTCCTATGATTGGTTCGAGTTAGACAAATTGAGATATCTTAGGGACAAGGATGTTACTTACCTGGCTTAGCTTTCGCTTGACTCTAACATTTATTCTAACATTGGCTCTAACATTGACTCCGACATAGCCCGACTGTAGAATAGAGTTAGACGTGTAATAAGATGCGAGGGATGATATCACTTACATTTTGCCCGTTGTCTGCGGCAAATCCCGGAGAGTAGTTAGTCGTAGGATTGGGAATAGGAAAGGCAGACACAGGTGCTTGGGCGGGTTGGTTCAAAGGCTGATGCTGGCTCCATGGAGGCGGAGGCTGATGCCACAAAGGTTGAAAAGCAGGGGGACGCGTGTCCCCAAATGTAGGTGCTGAACCAAAGATAGGAGGCGGCTGGCCAAATGTGTGTCCTGGATGAAAGGTAGGCTGGCCAAGTGTATATCCCGAATAGAGGGTAGACTGGCCAAATGTATGTCCCGGATGAGAGGGAGGCGATTGTCCATATGTAGGTGCTGGATGAGAGGAAGGGGGCTGTCCATATGTATGTCCATATGTATGTCCATATGTATGTCCATATGTATGTCCATATGTATGTCCGGGATAAAACATAGCCGAATGAGGACCAGGAGTAGGATCCAAGTAAGGAATGCCAGGGGATCCGGGCATGAGAAAAGGCCGCTACAATTAACACAAGTTAGCAATAGCCATGGGATATATTAAAGATACTTACACTTGGAACATAAGCTGGGTAGCGGGCCCTCGCGCGATTTTGGTCCTTGAGTCTATATGCGTCTTGTGCTCTAAACAGGGCTTTTTGGGCTCTTTCTAGTGCCTTTTCCGCTCTTTCCCTATTCACTGGTTGGGCTAATTTTAGTATCCTTTCCGCCTCTACAACATAAGCTTCTTCTCGATGTATGTCTTCTTCTAGCACGGCAAAGGTGGAAAAGTACATCCCTCTACCCGTGTCTTGGGGGGCGGGTAGTAGATTAGGCTCCATTGCGGTATAATAGAGAACAAGTGTGAAGGGTGAGAGTAAGGGTGAATGTGAATGTGAGTATGAGTATGAGTGTGAATATTAGGGTGGTGGTGATGGGTGAGAGTGGAAGAATTGAGAGGAGGGGAGGTCTGGGACTGAAACTGGCCATAGATTAGCACTCGTAGGTATAGAAGGAGCATGGCTAATAAAGTTCAAGAATTGACGCGACTGCTGTAAAAGACGTGACGTGACTGCTACATATAAAAGACTCGATAGGCGTAGCAAAGTTAAGTGGTAAAGGCAGGAGCTACAGCAAAATGAGAGGTATACTTACTTGAATACCATGTACATAGCATTGCGAGATCGGCGGCTAGTAAGTCAATACTGCCGCTCCCGAATCAGCAGGTTAGAGAGAAAAAGGCATAAGATGTACTTACAAGAAGACAATTATGATAAAATTGAGTGTAGAATCCTATACTTAATTTATTTCATGTGAAATGCTGCAACTTTGATGGTGATATATGTAGGGCAACTCATATAAAAGACTTCAATGGAAAATACAAGGGTGGAGCGCATTGGGCAGGCTTATATATGGTTACAAGAGGGATCTAGTCACGTAAGGGTCAATCACATCTCGGGCAGATATGTTGAACTGGTACGTTCATAGTCAAGTTATAAATTAGATATAATAGCACCATCATTCCGAACCAGACAAATTCCAAAACGCCATGTCGGATTCGTCCCTTAATCATCAAATCCTAATAGTATAGTAAACCCATCTCCAGTTTAGCCGTACAATAGGTACAACCGCGTATACGACAGATGCTCATTCTCCCAGCCGATAGCTAACTAACGTCTCAACCCGGTGGCTAGTGGTGCTAAATCCCCGCAGCTGCACCCTCTCGCCGTTGACAATCTCCTTGGCGTCGCTGTCGCCCCATTCGACAGGCACGTCGCTATCTGCGTCGGCATACACCAGGACGTTAAAAGTGCAGTCGCCGGCCAGCTGGGGTAGGAAGGTAACGGAGGCGGTGATCTGGCGGAAGAGGGCGGCGATCTCGGCTTGGATCTCGGCCTCGGTCTTGGAAGAATCGGGGAGGGCCGTGTTGGAGGCGGACGGGGGCGCGTCGTTCTCTTGGTTGGGAGACGTCTTGGACTTTTTAGATTTGCCGGTATTGAATATGTGGACGTCGAACTGCCATCGTTCGACATGCTCGCCCGTGTCTTTGTCGGTGATGACGATGACCAGCTTGCTGATCTTGCCGCGCTGCATCCATTTGTCAAGCTGGGACATGATCTTCTTAATGTACGCCTTGACCTGGTCGTCGGCAGAAACTAGCATGTTCAGACCATATTTTTTGACGCTGGCTCCGTTAGTCTGGGCCGCTGACAGAAGCGAGATGGATCGGGTCGGGGTATTACGTACGCTGTGAAATCTTCGGCGGGATAGACACCTCTTTGAAATCTAGTTTGGTATTAATAAAAGCGTCTAGGGCCGCATGGAAATAGTCTTGTTACGTACAGGATGGTATGGATCGAGTATTGGAACTGGGAGATGGACTTGTTAGCTCATCTCTGCTTCGTGGGAAGGCTTCTACGTACGAATTCTGCAACAAGTTTGGCGCTTCCTTTGAGAGCCAATTTATGAACCTTGGATTTGTCCTTGTCTTTCTCTGGTGCGGTTGGCGCCATTGTGATAGATTCCCTGTCGTGTGTGTTGCTATCGACTTTGAACTTCAGTCTAGAGGTTGTAAGTGTCGTGGTTCAATTGTTTACTTTCAAAAACTTTGGCGGGGTGACGAACTACCATAACGATATTGTAGATAGTGATAAGATAAGCGATTGTGTTTATCGATAAGACCCAACTACCATTCGAGTTTGGGAATTTTTGCTACATCCCACCGGCCGGGAATAGCCTCATACGTTCTTCATCTGGGTACTCTTCCGTGTCTTGATCCAAAATTGACAAGGCCTAGAAAGCTTAATTCGTATGGATGGGTGGTAGATTCAAGTCTCCATTGGAGTTCGTTCTCATGCGACCATGTCTCCGCTCATCTTCCCTTCGCACGGCTTATAACACCAGCGCCTACTCGCAGCCGACATGGCCTTCTTTTGGGTTGAAGTTACGATTCCAACGGCGGACTGGATTGATGGGATGGCCAACTACTGTATCAGGTACATATAATTCTTCGCGACGATATAGTAGCTTGAAAGCAGGAGTAGTGGGTGATCTCGAGCGCCGTATCGCTGCGATCCCTATCGAGCGCTTTCGAAACTTTTGTATCGTGGCGCATATCGACCATGGAAAATCCACGCTATCAGACCGACTGCTCGAAATCACGGGCACTATATCGTCGTCTAATACAAACCGCCAGATCCTCGATACTCTTGAAGTTGAGCGCGAGAGAGGAATCACCGTTAAAGCTCAAACTTGCACCATGATCTATAATCATCACGGCCTCGATTACCTGCTGCATCTCGTCGACACGCCCGGTCACGTCGACTTCCGCGCCGAAGTTACAAGGTCGTACGCAAGCTGCGGAGGCGCTATTCTGTTGGTCGACGCGAGCCAAGGAGTACAAGCTCAGACCGTCGCCAATTTTTATCTCGCCTTTGCCGAAGGCCTCAAGATCCTACCGGTTATAAACAAGATAGACATGGTTGCCGCTGACGTTCCAAGAGTTCTGGAACAGCTCGAGTCTACTTTCGAGCTAGATTCTAGCAAGGCTATCGGAGTAAGCGCAAAAACCGGCCTCAACGTCAAGGAGTTACTACCAGCCGTTGTAGAAAACATCCCGGGGCCTACAGGCGACGAATCTAAACCGCTGAGGATGCTACTAGTGGATTCGTGGTATGACAGTTTCCGCGGCGTTATATGTCTAGTCCGGCTTTTCGACGGTACCGTAAGGGCAGGAGACAACCTCGTGAGTTTTGCGACGGGGAACAAGTACACTATCGGTGAGGTCGGCATTCGATATCCTACGCAGGTTCCGCAAACAGTCTTGCGCGCCGGCCAGGTCGGTTACGTCTTTTTTAATCCCGGCATGAAGAAAATCCAGGATGCCAAAATCGGCGATACGTTCACCACCGTCGGCTCAGAAGACATAGTTGAGCCGTATCCAGGCTTCGAGGAACCCAAACCCATGGTCTTCGTCGCCGCCTTCCCTACGGACCCTGCCGACTACAGCCGCCTAGCAGACAGCATCGGCCAGCTCGTGCTGAACGACCGTAGCGTGACCCTCTTCAAAGATCACTCCGAGGCGCTGGGAGCAGGCTGGCGGATCGGCTTTCTTGGTAGTCTACACTGTTCCGTATTTCAGGACCGACTCCGTCAAGAACACGGCGCAAGCATTATCATCACCGAGCCTGCCGTCCAGACCAAAGTCATATGGCGGGACGGCACGGAGACAGTCCTTCAGAGCCCTACGGATTTCCCAGATCCCGACGACGGGCGCACCCGCGGCGCCACCTTCTACGAGCCTTATGTGCTGGCAACCCTGACGGTCCCAGAAGAATATCTCGGCCGCGCCATAGAGCTATGCGAAGCCAACCGCGGCGAGCAGGAGAGCATCGAGTTCTTTCACGGTATGCAGGTCATCCTAAAGTACCGCATCCCTACGGCGCAGCTGGTGGATGATTTGTTCGGCAAGCTTAAGGGCGCAACTAAAGGGTACGCGACTCTGGATTACGAGGACGCCGGGTGGCGCGAGAGCAAGTTAGTCAAGTTGCAGCTATTAGTTAATAAGCAACCGGTGGACGCTATCTCGCGAGTGGTGCACCTATCTCAAGTGGAACGGCTGGGCAGGCAGTGGGTGACCAAGTTCAAGGAGCACGTACAGCGGCAAATGTTCGAGGTCGTGATACAGGCGGCGGTCGGCAAGAAGATCATCGCGCGAGAGACGCTCAAGCCCTTCCGTAAGGACGTGCTCGCCAAGTTGCACGCCAGCGACATTACCCGCCGCAAGAAACTACTCGAGAAGCAAAAAGAAGGTCGCAAGAGGCTACGCTCGGTCGGCAATGTTATCATCGAACAGGAGGCGTTTCAGAGGTTCCTGTCTAAATAGGTTGCCAAATGTACATTGTCTAGACATATCTACGCGAACACTCAAAGTCCTATATATGTATCTGCCAAGCCGAACTATCAGCCGCGGAGTATATCAATAGCCCAGTAGTACATGTATTATAGCCAGCATGTGTTAGTATATAAGAACTAATGTCTAGACGGTACCTAGTTGAGATACAGTTCTCTATCATTCTTATGCGTCAGTCCTGCGTTTTCCCACCAAAAGTCCTGCCCCCTTTGGTTCTTCGTTGCGAATATCATCGGATTCAAGACAGATACAGAACGCCTTAGCAATGAATTTTGATATCGCCTATAGATACGCCCCGCCACCTGTGATTCAAATAGTGGTAAATTGAGGCTTCTGAAATTATGAATAGCTGATCAGTAGGTTGGTTGTGAAATCCTCGTATCAGAGACCGCGCACTACGTCATCCGCACTATAGATCCAAATCAAGAAATAAATCACAGTTTATAGGTAAGGCGTGTATCGACGACTTCTTTGGAACAAGCGGCACGCAACAGAAATTGCATCAGCAAATCCTCTGCTGAGCCGCCAGCAAAACCCCTACCCTCCATCGACCTTCTCAAAGAGATTCAAACTTATCGCCAACGTGATCGATCGGGCTCAAGATATCTTGCCGCCAATTCACGGCTGGGCCTTGCAAGGTGCGGATATCGGGGCTGGATTAAATTCGGCTGTTTTGAACAATACGACACCCGGCCAAATCTTCTACCAGAACGGCACCGCCAATGAGGTCTACCATCAAGCATTCAACATCCTAACCGATACTAGCTCGCCCCCGATCCCGTACGGCATCGTGATGCATTATCCACACGATACAGAAAAAGTTGTTGGGCTCGGCGTCGATATAGGAACTGGAACATCAGGCATCACGCTGACCAACCCCCCTTACCCAATGGTGGAACTGTCAGTTCCCAGAAGCCGTTTGGTAGCTTGCAAGCAGAACATCCCGTATTACCCACTAAAGCGCGAGTTTGCGGTAGTGAAAGCATTCCGCGATCAAGACGTCCCTGATGGCTGCGTGTGGATCGAGTTTCTGCCGCAATGTGCTGAGCTGCCCGAGTTGCCGGCGGGACGCATAGCCACGCACGAATTCGCCAATAGGGGAATATGCTTTGAAGATCCCGCTAGAATTCATTGGATTAAGTACTCGGAAGTGAGGTAGATAGGGGTAAGTAAGCTAAGCTTGATATGGGAGAGGAGATTGAGGAAGCACTGGAATATTTAAAAACGTAAGATAGCTGGCTTGATTTCGTGTATTATACGCCATTAATTATGCAGTAGAGACTACCATTAGTTCGTTTTAAGATGGTCCTCGTTCCTAAAATTCGCATGACTATCAGACCAAGGTCCGGATCAACTAAATACACCTGTCAGGATTCTAGATGAGACATCTAGAACAAAGGAACTGTTCAGTATGTATAGACGATAGATCTTCATAGGTAGTTTTGTCAGATGACAAGGATTACGATAGGCGTATGACGTGATAAGGGTTCTAAAATTTAGGTTGAAGCTATCTACCAGCTAGTCATTCGTTATGTTGTATATAAGGGAACCTTGGTTCGCTCATAGATGTAAGAAGAGGCAGGCGTTAATAATACCGAAAGTTATATATGTTATATAAGCTATTCACCAGCTAGTCACCTGTCACTCCGTAGTGGTCACATACCAAGGGCTGCTCATGACAAGTTTAGAGTTCCTTGCGGAACAACGAAGTTGTTTCCATACTGTTTCGTTCCACCTCGTGACAACACCCACGAGGAGACCCCCTCGTATATTAGTATAATATGCTTACGAAAACTCGTCAAGTAGGTGTACACGCGTGAATTAGCGTGTAGTTGATCCGAGCCTTGTGTTAGACTAGGACTAGCCATGAATCGGAAGAGTGTCCATGATTACTTTGTACCCCTACCGTAGCGCGCCGGAATCACAACATAGGCTCTTGTATCATACAACCTTTCCTACGTGTGCTAATCATATGATACGAATTACTCAACTTCGAGCTATAATCCCCACAAGCCGTCAAGGTTCGCTGACGCCCCTGCATGAACATTACCATCAAGGTCCTCGATACAGGAGCCCTGAATTACCAATCCTTCATAACATAGAAGTCATAATCTTCCCCGAGGTATACGCCGGGGTGTCTATGAGGCAAAATATGCATAGAAAAAGAGGTATGATTTGGAGACGTTCCTTACGATACGTGTAGACTGTCTCCAAGATGCCAACAAGGTGCTACGAGTCATCCCATCAGTTCACAAAAGGTATTAAGCACTCAAATACTTGCGTCTCATGGGCTAATAGATGTATTGTCGGCTACATAGTCTACCTCTGCCCTAGCTCTCCCATATTGTAGTCAGTGCAGGTTGCAGATTATGATATAAATCGTCTAGCCCCTTGTAGGCGAGGAGAGATTTGCGTTGCCATTAGCCTTGACATTTATCCTACTTTATAGAACTCTCCATAAACGTCCCTTTGCGCATATTAAATCGGGTGTAATGGCTCCCGCGCTCCTCGTCGATACCCCCAGCAAGACCGAAAGGCGGCTCCCAGTTACACTTCTTAGCGGATTTCTCGGGTCGGGAAAAACGACCCTTCTCGAAAATATCTTGACATCCCCCGAACATGGCCTCCGAATAGGTGTCATAGTCAACGATGTTGGCGCGCTGAACATCGACGCGGCCCTGCTCACTTCGCACGACGTCACTCGTAAAGAAGAACAAGTGGTGGCCATGCAGAACGGCTGCATCTGCTGTACTTTACGAGGTGACTTGCTCGAGGAGGTTGCGAGGCTTGTAGAGGAGAAACAGGTCGAGTATCTCATCATCGAGAGTTCTGGAGTTAGCGAACCAATGCAAGTCGCCGAGACGTTCTCTGAGGAGTAAGTGCAAATAACTATTTATAACGTCAACGAAGCTTTGGTTTTACTAACAGAGTGTATCAGGTTTGCCGACATGCACATCGCCGCAGGGTACGACCTCGAGGCAGAGGAGCAAGGAAATAAAGAGAATAATTATAAACTCGCCAAAATTCTAAAATCCGGCGGGCTCTCCAAGGTAGCGCGTCTCGACACTTGCGTCACACTCGTAGACGCCGTAAATTTCATGCAGGACTTTGCGACGGCTGACTTCTTAGTGGACCGCCAAGCTGATGTTCCGCAGGAGGACGATAGGAACATTTCGGACGCGCAGGTTGATCAGGTAGAATTCGCGGATATTGTCATAGTAAACAAGTGCGACCTGGTTACTAAGGACGAAGCGAATCGGATTAAAGGGGTTGTTAGAAAGCTTAACCCTAGCGCCAAGGTCGTCTCGACTGTCAAGTGCCGACTAGACCTAGGCGAGATACTGGATACTCGCTTGTTCTCGTACGAAAAGGTGGCCCTCAGCGCCGGATGGCTAAAGAGTCTAAACGAAGAAATTAGCCCTGAGACGGAGGAATACGGGATAGGCACATTCGTTTATCGAGCCCACCGCCCCTTCCACCCGGCGCGGCTCTGGGATATGATCAAGTCGGTATTTGTCGTTATCCAGACGGAGTACCAGATCGAAGGAGAAGATATGGATGTCGACGACACAGATAGTGCTGCCGAAGACGATGACGAGGATGAGGACGAAGAGACTGATGAAGACACCGATATGGAGGATGAGCAACCTCAACTTGACCCCAAAGCACGATTGGCTTCGAAAATAGCAGACGACACTTTCGGGCCGCTGCTACGCTCGAAGGGATCTCTGTGGTTAGCAACCAGGCCTAAGATGGTGAGTACCTCGGCAATCTGCTGAGATTCCCACGTTAACGTAGTTATCACCTAGTATGACGAATGGTCGCAAGCAGGTGTAATGTTGACCATATCGGGGCAAGACCTCTGTCGCTGCGAGATTCCGGAGGACGAATGGCCCTCGGATCCAGAGATGAGAAAGGCAATAACCCGCGATTTCGACGGAAAGTGGGGAGATCGGCGACAGGAACTTGTCTTTATCGGCCAGCAAATGAGGACCGGTGGTGAAAAGCGCTTGCGAAAGACTCTCGACGCCTGTCTCTTAGACGATGAAGAGTTCCTCAATTGGGAGGCCGCCATGGAGTCTGATGATATCCAGGAGAAGTTGGAGGAACTATTCGAGGACGGATTCGAAGATTGGCTCGAGACTAGCCACGAAGGACATGACCATAGTAACGGTCATAGCCACGGAGACCACAAACACTAAGGCCCGATATGACTTACATTTAAGAGAAACTGGTTAATAATTGGTATAGTTATCGAATGAAGTTGTAACCTTCAATATGCAGTACCTCCCGGATGGAAGTTAATGTGCACTGTAATTATCCATCAAGACCTCATGTAAAGATATAGTAAGCGCATAGGGATATAGTAGCTGGCAACAGTGGAAATTCCCTGTAATGCTTTTTTATTATGCAACTGGGAAATACACTTGGGGACTAAAGGTGTGCTTTGGTGCAGGTATCTCATCTAAAATCCTAATATTCTTTGTTTCGTACTAGGTACCTATTCGACCATTTCCACTTGCGTACCTAGGCGACCTCGAATTAGCAGCTAACTCTACGCATGATACCGGCGTCATTCCGTCCAACCGCCGGCAAAACATATCGACAAATATCACAAGTCCACATTCACTATATCTACGAACTACCTACGAAAGTAGCGCGTGAGGTACCAGGTTCTCCGCCATCATATCCTCGAGTTGTTTGATAACCCACTCCTGACCCCGCGGGCTCGCGTTGAATAAGCTACCGACGTCGACTTGCGTACCCCCCTGAGAGTAGGCTTGGAGATACTGTGCAATTGTTGACTTTAACGAAGCAATATCTTTCTCTTCATCGTCCGGAGTCAGCCTACTCGCGTTGCGGTAATACACCTCTGCGTTCTTGGCATTCTGAGAGGCCGTGCTGACGGCTGTCTGATACGACGTCGGCGAGAAGGCCATAGTGTAGAGATATAAAGACGCGTCGCCGCGTAGGAGATGCGTATTAGCTAGGTCCTCCTGATGAATCCCTCGTATTGCCGACGCAGACTTCAGGCTTGCTATGCTAGCCGTGAGAACATTCCACCGTAACGTCGACTGCGACTGGGCATCCCCGTTGTCTGAGTCTGTTAGTGCCGAGTTGAGCGCTAGGAGAGAGCGAGCATTCGCTATATGGCCTTCTGCTGAATTCTCAAGTTGAAGTTCCGCATTTGCGAAAACTGAATTTAGTTCTCGACTGTAAGTTTCGGCGTCGATCTTCCCGGACCTGTAACCGGCTTCTAGCATCGCCGAAACAAGATTGGCTCTCGCTAGAGCGACTTCCTGTAACCTGTCGTGCTGTTCACGCGAGATGGCCTGCACCTTTTCGACTAAGCCCGACGAAACTTCCTCGGCCCAGGCGAGCGTGTTTGTGGGAGCAGCTTCGGGCGAAGAGCTCAGAATGCTACAGAAAGTAGTGAGAGTAGCCAGCTGAGCGAGAAGTGTATCGATAAGCGTGTCGTTGGTGACCGGCTCGACTACGTTGAACCATTCTTCGTCTTCCTCAGCGCCGCCAGACAAGCCATTTCCTGATCCGGAAGCCGCTACGGCTTTGTCGCTCGCGTCTTCTTCTTGCTCGTTAGCAAAACGTTCCTGCTCGAGGAATTCCTGGTATTTTTGCTCTTGCAAGCTAAGACACGCGCTTTGCAGGTCGAGCGCTTCTCTGAGCGCCTTTAAAGCTTCAGCTTCGGTTCCAGCAGCGTCGTCATCTTCGTCGGTGGCCATCAGCTCGGCGATAGCCGTAAGAACTTGAGAAGTATTAAATAGCGCGTCCGAATTATTTGGAACCAGCTTTAACGTGTACCGATGCGACGCCAATGCCTCGTCTAATACGCCTCTTAAGGGCTGCTGCAAATGCTCAACAAGAATGGGATGCGTAGCAATCTCCAGCTGCACCCGGGCTCTGCGGAAATTATTAGCAGATGCTTCATCACGGAGAGGGGGTGATGCCACTATCGCGCTTCAAACCGAATAGAAAAAACAGGCTCATTTAGAAAAGAATCCTTACTTATTATAGGCGAGGTCGATGCTTTGAGGGAACTTGCGAAGCCCTTGGTCGTATACATCAATAGCGCGCTGAAAGAATCTCATGGACTTGGCGGCATCTCCCGCACGCCATTTTCCAGCGGCTTCTTCAAAGTCGACGCCGGCAGCTTGGAAGTCGTCTGCCGTGTCCAGCTTCTGCTCTTTCTTTGGCTTCGCTTTTGGTTGCTTCGTAAACGATTTTAGTTTCGCCATCTTAACGGATGTGAAGGCAGTTGTCGGCTTCTATGATGTATGGCTCACTGATTGGGATGTTGATTTTTCGGGGAGAATTTTTTAATTCGGGAACGGGCAGAACGGGGTACGTACATTCGGGGCCCGTGTTTTGGCTAAAGAGCCCCACACCGTACGCGGAACGGCCCGTCTATCTAACGCTACCTACGCTTCAGGCCCGGTCGTACGCAACCAGGTAGCAGAAATTAATAATGCAACTAGTAGGTGTAGTAATTATAATGACCAGGTAATTCTCTAGAGGATATCTATGGTAATTTACAAATAAATAAACACGTTTACTATCATTCAACTTATCATACTATATTCCGCATGTCCCCATTTTAGTCGGCCTTTAAAAGCCTTTTCGTTTTAATTGGTGAGGGTTAGTCTATATCAAACACTATGCGAGCAAGATGAGAATAGTATAATATCTCCTAGCTTCTTCAAATTCAAAGATCCGACGGAGATAAGTCTCATGACGATAGTATTGCGACTTGGACTATTCGTAGGCACGTCTTAGAGGAAGTTAGACACGGCTTAACACGATTGAGTAACTATGGTTGAAACCAAACAGCCCAAGCCCCGAGAGAGCTTGGTTAACTATTGGCGATTAAACATAAGCTTATGATGAGCGAATCTCATTCATCACCTGTAGATTCCTTCTTGATATAAGTACCTATTCTAGGACCTTATAACCGCGTTAAAGCATCGCGCGTAAATGTTAACTACGCTTAAGCAATCTCTTCATGTCATCAATATCTGACAACTATTGAACCTAAGATACGAGGCTGACGACACCAAAAACTTCACGTGTGCCAGGCTTTGACTTAGCCGACTTCAAAGCAACAATTGAGCTATTCGAGATGAGATTATAAGCTTCAAGTAAATATCACAAGCACCTAATGGACATAACTTTAGCTACTCACTACAGTCTACGATGGAAATATCAGACAAGAACAGAAATGGTTAACAAATAATTATCAGGTCTGAAAACTGATTGCCTCGTATAGTTCTCTTTATTGCTAGCCCCATACGATCAGCTGAGAATGTTTCATCATGAACTCCGCCTAGGCTTGTAGGACGCAGTAACAGTGAAGCTAAAAAAAAGAATTACCAAAAGAATCATCATGCTAGTTCGAACTGGAGATCGAGCAGACCGTAGTGTTTGTTTTACCCAATAGTAAGCTGGTTATCGCGCTCCACACGAACTAAAATCCCTCTAGTTTCCTATTCGAGATCCGAATCCCATAATTTATCTGTCGCCGAGCTGAGCCAAGCCTCATTTGGTGGCGTCAGCTACATTCGCATGACATTACATTGACCGGTATCCCATCTCAGGGGCTCTCTTGCCCTTTTGAGCCTTGTCAACGGCTGATGAAACCATGGCAATGGCTGCAGGGAAGGAGAGGTTATGTTGCCAATGGCGAAGACTTAAATAGATGGATATCCGTCAACGATATTCAGGTCTTGGAAGACATTCAACCTCATCAACTTTCTCACTTTACTCGGTATTATTAATATTTGTCGGTTTTTACAATTGAACCGCACAAGAATGAAGGCTGTTACTACAATCATCGCTACGCTAGCATCAGCCGGCTTCGTCCGCGCTCATGTTGCGGCGTTTACAAAGGGCATGTACTGTCTAGTAAGTGTTCTCTTCGTCTCTAATAGTTGTCTGATAATAACCTAGCTAGAACGGTACGAAACCCGGAGTGGAAGACTTCAACACCAACACAGTCGTGAATCCCCTTTTCGAACTCCCGAAGAGCGAATGGTGGATGCAGCACGATCGCGGCTGCGACTCGGATCAGTTCCGTCCTAGCCCCGGCGACTTTCTGGAGCTCCCGGCCGGCGGATCCTTTACCGTCGAGTTAGCCCACAACCGTGCCCAAACTACTCTCTCCTACGACGGGAAATTTACGTCGGAGTGGCCGGATGGAAAGCAGCATCCGGAAGACTGGCATAGCCCAACTGCCGACGATTGCCTCAACGCTAACCCGGATGGTTTGGGGGGCGCGATGCATACCCACAACGAATCGACTGCCGCCGGCACCGCTTTCGCTATCTCCTACAACTCAGATATCTCCAAGGTGACGATGGAGAACTTGGCGGTATTTACCGTTCTAGAGCAGTACGCACATCCCCGTAACCGGACGCCCACGTACAGACGTAATAGCTAACAGCGGCGATAGCACACCATGGAAACGCCTTGCTACTTACCAAGTGCCTCGCGACTTGCCACCATGCCCCGAAGACGGCTGCTACTGCGCATGGCTGTGGGTTCCGGATGGATGTAAGCCGAACACTTTTACTTTTCATTTATCCAAGTACTGCGTACTAATCTTTTACTACTAAGGCGGCGAACCAAACATGTACATGCAAAACTTCAAGTGCCGCGTTACCGGCTCTACTTCTACGAGGACTGTTGCTCCCGCCAAAGCGCCGGTATACTGCGGCGGACAGACCGCCTGTATTGCCGGGGCAAAGCAGATGATTGCTTGGAATCGTATGTGCATTCCTTCGTTCCCCCTTATTTCTTCCCCTATTGACATGACACGCAGAGGCCGATGGGAACAACGTCGAGACACCGGCCGGCGTGTCTCCCGGTTACAACCAGAAGATGGGTTGGCAGCCCGGTGCGCAGAATGACATTTTCCAGTGAGCATCGAAGTTCGATCCTCTGCTCGAAATGTGATAGAAATCAGTCTTGGCTTGCGTTATTTTCGAATTAGATATAGATAAGGTACTTTAGCTGGCTGTAGCATATTCTTTCTCATCAGTTTACTTCCACCGTATATTTCACTCTCAAGTATATAATAGTCGATCAATCACTTTCATTTCTACCTAAATAGTTAACCTCTGCTAGAGTCTTAGACAGCTATGGTTTATGAAATACGCTTTAATTCTAAATCCAACTCTTGCTATCGTTTGAAGGAGTCAGTATGGATGCTGCCGAGCGCTTCAAGGTCATGCCCAGGTCGCTTCCTAGCTGTTCACGAGACGAAACTCATCATAGCCTATCTGCTAACGAATTACGATATTGAATGCACCAAAGCAAAACCACAGGTAACAAATCTACTGGCGACGAAGGTACCGAAGATGGACGCCCTCATACGAGTGAGAAAACGCGCCGCTTGAAGGAGGTTGACTTCTGCCTACACGGCGGTTCAAGAACCTATGGAAGCATTTTATTCTGTAGTGCGAGCGACTTCGAGAATACCTAATGTTATAGTAGGTGTATTAATCTACTCTGAGTTAAAGAGGCTACCATCTAGCAAGGAAAGCGTAAGGAACCTGGTTGTACTCTCGTGGTGGCAGGAATACTCTTTGATCTTCAAATTGCCTAGAAACTAGAAGTTGCTGTGTATGTGACCGTGAGTAATTATCTACTATCTATCATCACATCTTTACTTGTGGTCTTCCCCGACAATCTTCAAAGGACACGGTGGAGTGACTCTTCGCGAGTAGCTATTCGGACCCTTCAAAGTCGCTGCCAGGAGACACGGATTAGGACTGGTCAATTGACGTAGTTAGGTAGAGTTCCAGACAGGAATTTATCACCGGCTAGCTATAATCTATATTACCGTTTGCGCCAGCGATAAATGGGTAAATAGACTGACTAGTCGGGTCTAACGGATGGCGACGTATGGTCGGTACGAGGTCTATCAGACGATTCCCGAATTGATATGCTTTTGGCAATGGCCAATCTATCAAAGGCAGCTTAGCCACCAGGTAGCCCTAAACTATCTATTCCGGTTCAGCTCCGTACCTCGTCTGTCATGCGTGTGTTCCTCGAAATCTAAAAACGCCGTGCGTTGGCTTCTAATAGCTATGTATGCCGTGGTTATTCGTAAATACCATCGTATCGACTAGCTCTAAAGCCTGCTCCGCTTCATGAAACTCCTATCAGTTCACGCGATTGAAAAAGTAGACGTATGCCGTCTTCTTCATCTCTTCTACGTCGCCTGCTTCCACTACCTTCTCGTCGTTGAAGAGCACCCACTTCGGCATTGTCGTGTCGAGAAGCTTGCGGATGAATGCCACATAATGTCTATAGTTGTGTCAGCGCCTTATTCCGCATGTTTAAAAAATAATTAGGTACAACTTACCCCGAGTGAATGCTGGTTCCCTTATGGCATACGATGCTCTGCAGTTGGAACCTCGCTGGAACATCGGCGCTACCTGCGGGGACGGCCTCCTTTGAGGACGGTGCGGTCTCGTCGCCAAAGTCGCCTTGGTCGTCTGGGTGGCTAAACAACCATTCTACTGCGCGTTCTACGTCGCCGTTGGTCTCCTTTAGAGCTTTGCGGGCTTGTGGCGCGCCGAATCCCATAGACCCTAGCATCTCGATCTTCTCAGGATCCGCTGCGGCATTGCTTCCGGCACCGGTAGACGCGACGACTAGAGGCTCGTCGATGTCGGCATCTTCCATGTGGCCAAACAACCACTCCATCGCCGCGTTAGCATCCGAGTTACCGGTTGCGTGAAGCGCCTTTTCGCAGCGGTTACGGGGGAATCCCATGGCCATGAGCCCGTCCAGCGCGGCCTCGTTAGGCGTAAAAGCCGGAGCGGCAGAGGCCTCCTCTTCCGGAAGCGGTTCTTCGGACGGCTGGAGCCCGGAAGAGAGATATTCGTCGAGTAGGAACGGCTCGTCTCCCACTATGACCGGGACGTCGACCTTTCGGGGCACCCAATTCTCTATCGTCATCTTCCGCGCATTGACGACGAGAGTGGTCGGTAAGGTCTTGAATAGGGATCTCTTCGTGAACCCGTCTTTGCTCCCACACGACGCGCACGTCAGCTCCACCACTTCCATGGCGGTGAAGTTGTCGAGACATTGCTTAAGTGTAACCGGCTTGTAGCGATCTCCTTCGCCTTCTACGGCTGGCAGCTTCTCCAGGGGCACGTCGATAAAGATACCATCCTGTTCGTTGCTAGTGTAGCGGACCTTCTTGCAGCTCATACACTGTAGTCGCTGTTCGAGAACGAATCTAAACGACTGGGTAGGGTCTTTTAGGGGTGCTGAGTGTTGAGATCTGGTAATAAACTTGACTAGGTGCTGTAAAAGTTCGAAGGCATCCTGTTGGCGCATCGTTGAAAATTCGGCGTGTCCGCGGCCGATAAGGTGCTTTAGCATGCTAGGCGACAGACCTTTCTGGTGCGGGGTCTCGGGGGAATTCTCAGAGGCTACGACGTCGGAGTCTGGCTTCGAGTAGCGACCTGATAATAGGCCGTCTCCTAATTTGCGCAGCTGCGTTTCGAGATCTTGAGCTGGGTCGGGCACGATAGGTAGGTCGACTTCGGGAATATTGTACCGCTCTTGAAATGCGGGCAAGTCGAATAGGCACTGAAGTATGCTCGCGAGGTAGCAGCTATTACCGAGATTCTTCAGTCCGGTTAGGCCAGGTCCGAATAGCGGTCTAAGTTCTTTTCCGTCTTCGGTGGTCATGGAGAATTCCCATCGTAGATTCTGCTCGATCTGCATCTCGGTCAAGCTCTTCTCCGTCTTGACCTGGTCGGAAACGATGATTCCCCAATGCGCCAGATGGGTCGCGAGGTCATTGTCTACGCGTTCCTCGTCGCATTGGTAGCAGTACACGTCTGCTGTGCCTTCCGGGCTGATAGATCCTAGCTTGACTGCGACCGCGTGTCTCGACTCGGTTGCGTGTGCCAGCCCGTGTGAGTTTCCTCCGACGCCGCCAAACTGAGCACGACCGCAACCTAGGTTACCGCATTCTAGGCATAGCCAGAGGTTCTCTTTTAGATCGCACTTAGAACAGTGACCTAAGTCGCTCTGGAGCTTTCGGCTTTCGTGTTGCTGTAGGAGAAGGATATGCTCGCAAGATGTCAGCTCCTGCTCCCAAGCCTTGACCTCTTCCTGCCGCGAGAAAGTATTCGCCTTTAGGATCCCGTCGACGATAGGTGCGAGTTTCGGGCTAGTCTTGTCGAGCTCGGTGGAGCACTCGTGGCACTTGACCGCGGTCGTGATATCGTAGCGGTCGGCTTCGGTCTCGGCCGCGATGGCTAGCTTGGTTATCTTTGTGGGAGGCTCGTCTTTTACGACTCGCTTGCGAGTTCGACGGATGTTTAGAGCGAGCGGGTGACTGCGGGTGACGTGGTGAAGTTCGGAATGGGTTCGAACGCCTAGACAACCTCCGTTGAAACACTGCAGACAGACGTCGAGGCCTTGGGCATCGTCCTAAGGGTGTAAGCATTATTTTCCGATGGTAAGGCTGGATGGCGGATTCGGGTGCTATTTCTGAGAACTTACGATAGAATCAAAGCATTGAGTGCAGTCTTCACGATAGACTGACTGAGCTGGGGTTGGGGGATGTAAAGCTGCAATATAAGACAGGCAGGTAAGCTACGTGTGAGCACGAGATTTACGCTGTTCCCGCCCAAACTTACAAATAGAATCGAGATGTGGACATGCCATTTTGAAGGACGAGAGAGACGGTAAAGGTGTCGGGTTAGAAGAGTGCTGAAAACAAAGTTGTATAACGGAAGACGAGGTGGATGATTGAGAATAATTGCGGCAGGGGTACGGTGTGCTACCAAATTCCAAACGTGAAGCGTGGAAGCATGGAAGCTACTTCATGTATTGTACAAGGAGCTTCGCGGCTTCACGGCGGCGGGGCTAAGACTTTGTCGATGGAGGGGTACAAGTACAATCTGCAGTGCGAGGTCAGATTGCCCCACGCTGCTAATTATGTACGTAACAGGTACTACCGCTTGCCAGTTGACAGCAGGAGACAGGCCTAGAAAGTTCGGTCGAAATTATCGGACCATGTCTGCGCAGCTGCAAGAACGGATCTGATAAGGTGAAGAAGTGGAGATAGCTACAGCCGACCCCCTCCTTACAGTGCATATACAATCTCCGAGGCTTATGATTTCATCGCTAATTTGAAGTTGTATGATTCGCCACAGAACCCAAGTTCCATTTTAATACCGAGATCGCCGACAAAGACCGCTTCACTTTTTTGGGGGGGCGCTGCGTTTTACCTCATCATCTCCGATTCATAACCCCCAACCTACAAATTTCTACGTCTTCGCTTCCACCTCATCTGCAATATAGCTCTTTCACAATCGCCATCGCCTGTTTAACCAAGAACATATCAAACAAAATTCCATTTCCATTGGCATTATTCCATCTCGACCACATTACAACTCGCATATCTCATATCTCAAAATGCTGTCGCGGACGCTAGCAACCGCTGCTCGACGAGTAGTCGCATCAGCAGCTCCTCGCGTCGCCACCCGCCAGATTCTCAACCCGGCCGCCAGCATTGCGCGCCGATCGTACCACGAGAAAGTGTTGGACCACTACAGCCGACCGCGCAACGTAGGCTCTATGCTCAAGTCTGATGTCGATGTTGGTACCGGCCTAGTCGGCGCCCCAGCATGTGGCGACGTCATGAAACTTCAGATCCGGGTCGATCCGAAGAGCAACACCATATCCGACGTAAAGTTCAAGACCTTTGGCTGCGGCAGCGCTATCGCAAGTTCGAGCTACCTGACAGAGCTGGTGAGAGGTATGACGCTCGAGGAGGCTGGCCGTATTAAGAATACCGAGATTGCCCAGGAGCTTTGTCTACCACCTGTCAAACGTAGGTTTACGTACGAATGAAATGGTTGACGTATATATGCTAACGCTTTGGTAGTTCATTGTTCCATGCTAGCCGAGGATGCCATCAAATCTGCCATCTCCAACTACTACAGCAAGAACCCTCATGCCAAGCCAACAAACCTTGCCGGTACTGGAGCAAAGATGCCCAGTATTAGCGAGGCCGCGACGGCAACTGCTTAAGGGTGAACGTACTAAACCGAATTTGAATGGATACATTCGTTACTTGCATGGGATATGGAGTTCAGATGGGGAACCAAAAGTCGCGGCTTTAATATGCAGTCCAGATGGGGATACCGGTATGTGACTGCTTATGATAATATGATATCGCTGTGCGTTGTTCTGTTGTGAGGGATTTTTGATGTTACGGCTATTTTCAACTCTGACCGGAGTTGAATGCGATGGACTTTGATCTCCTCAGTAATCGAGTTATCAAACTTGGGGTTTTCGAGCACTCATTAAGAGATGTACAATAGTCCTCACTCGGAATAAAATCGTAAAACCGCATGGTTGTTGTATGTTTAATTATTGTTCAGTGAGGTGCATGGCCGTAGTATTTACTACATTGTAGACATCAAGATCCAAAGTAACTTGGGTACTTTCCATTCTCAGTCCACCTTTATGCAATGAATGGTTACCTCCTCTTCGAGCCTCGATGAGAGCGTATCAGATTTAACAGGTAGGTACCCAACTATAGCCGTCGAAAACAATATCGTGAGAATAAGTTGGTGTATTACCTATTACTAAGCCACCTAAATAGGTACCTACCTAGCTAATGTATGCCAAGCCGTAGCCGCTAGCATATTTTCTTTATCAAGCGTTATCAGGAGCTTATCTTATCAGATTCAGGGTCCTCGATTGATTTTTTCTTTGAGTTCACCTCGATATCTTTTATCTGGTGTTTTCGTAACGCCAATTTTCCTTTTCGGCGCCGCAACTTACAATTCTATCCAGGTCGTTTAAAATTCAATTGAGAGATCAAAGCATACTCACCTCAGGAGCTTCCACAATCATGTCGAAACATCGTCTCGAGGACGCTGAAGTAGAGGCTGCAGCCCTCCCGCGCAAGAAGTCTAAGAAGGAAAAGAAGGACAAGAAGGATCGCAAGGAGAAGTCGCAAGAGGCCGACTCGGTCGCGCCAACTCTAGCAGATCCAGCCGTGGAACCGATAACATCGGAGGTTGACGGGGAGAAGACGAAGACGAAGAAAGAAAAGAAGGACAAGAAAAAGGAAAAGAAGGAAAAGAGAAAGGCAGAGAAGAGTAGCAGCGAGGGCGAAGCTATTAATGAACCAAAGGACGAGGATACCGCTGAGCAAGATGTAGCAAACGGGTCTCACGACGATGTAGACGCAGACCGCAAATCTAAAAAGGAGAAAAAGGACAAGAAAGACAAGAAGAAGAAGCGCAAGACCGAAGAGCCAGAGACCAACGGCGTTAATAGCAACTCCAATGGCTCTACGGAGAGCACTACAAATAGAGTCACCGATGCCTCGATCGCTTCCGGTACATCACAGACGTATGAGCAGAGTGCGGCGCTCTCCGCCGTGCCCGAGTCTGATATCGCGGCCTTCCTTAGCACGCATCAGATTACTGTCACCGACCCGCTCTCTGACAAGCCTTTCCGGCCCATCATCGAATTCTCTCACTTGCCCTCCTCGGCTCTGATCGCCAAAACCCCTTTCGCATCTTTCAAAGCTCCGACGCCTATCCAAGCGGCCTCTTGGCCTTTCGGGCTCTCGGGTCGCGACATCGTCGGCGTGGCAGAGACGGGTTCGGGCAAGACCATCGCCTTCGGCCTACCGCTCATCTCTGCCGTGCTAGGAATGCCCAAGCCCAAGGGCAGCGGCAATATACGCGCGGTCGTAGTGTCTCCCACGCGAGAGTTGGCAATGCAGACCAACGAGCAGCTAGCGAAGCTCGGTGATCTCGTAGGCTTGAAGACAGTTTGTATATACGGTGGCGCGTCTAAGGATGATCAGAGAGTACTACTACGCAACGCGGACGTCGTAGTCGCGACTCCTGGTCGGTTAAAGGACTTCCTGGAAGAGGGTTCCGCCAAGCTCGATGGAGCTAAATTCGTCGTACTAGACGAAGCCGACCGCATGCTAGATAAAGGATTCGAAGACGACATCAAGAGGATTATCGGATGTACACCTAGGAAGGAGGATCGCCAGACTCTCATGTTCACAGCAACGTGGCCGCAGAGTGTGCAGGCTCTCGCATCCACCTTTATGGTATCACCAGTCAAGATCCAGATAGGCGGAAACGCGAGTGGCGACCTGCAAGCAAACATAAGGATTGAGCAGCGTGTCGAAGTTATAGATCCCCGGGGCAAGGAAACCAGGCTATTGCAGCTGCTCAAGGCGCAGCCCAGGAACGAGCGAGTCTTAGTCTTCTGCTTATACAAAAAGGAAGCCACTCGGGTCGAAGGCTTCCTACAGCAGCGCGGCATCAAGGTTGTTGGCATACACGGCGATCTCAAACAAGAACAGAGGACGCGAAGTCTCGAGGCTTTCAAGACGGGTCAGACTCCTGTTCTGGTTGCCACGGATGTTGCCGCCCGCGGTCTAGACATTCCCGAGGTGAAGCTGGTAATTAATGTCACGGTATGATGCACGATCTTTTCTATTGATATGCTACAGTTTTATACGCATCTGGTACGCTAACCTGCGAGCGCGGATTCTAGTTCCCTCTTACTATCGAAGACTACGTCCACCGTATCGGGCGTACTGGGCGAGCGGGCAAAACCGGACTGGCCATCACGCTCTTCACCGAACACGACAAGGCACATTCGGGAGAGTAAGTCCAACAGGTTCTCGCATCCCATGCATCAATTCACACTAACGCTTTCTCTAGGCTCATCAACATACTCAAGGCCGCCGGACAACAGGTGCCGGAGGACCTCCTCAAATTCGGGACGACCGTCAAGAAGAAGACGCATGGCACGTACGGCGCCTTCTATAAGGACGTCGACATGACGAAGAAGGGTACGAAGATCACATTTGATTAAACTGTATCAAGCGCGGCGGAATTGGTGTCTATATAGATTAAGCTATGTCTATACCTAAGGTAGATGTTACCTTGACGCTTCGCCACGGCCGCGGATGGAATTATAGCAGTCTAGCAAGTATTTGCGTTCGGCATAGGCACTGGTTGACCAGTTAGAGATTTACATAAACGCGTATGGTGGCTAGAAAGTAGTCAAGACTTACATGATGATTACAAAGGGCACGGCTCTAGTTGCAACCGTGATTAGATCTACAAATACGTATGGCGATGTGCTACCGATAGAAATGCCGGCTCTCGCCAGGGAAGCCCAGAACGCCGCAGCAGCAACAGTCGTGAGGGCCAAGTTACTTGGAAGGATACTGTTCCAGCTAAAGTCGATTTCGTTAGCCCGAAAATACCGCGTGATAAAAGTTCCGCTCCAGATGATGCGGCATAGCATATTGATGCCGTTTGCATACACGAGACCGGCAGCGCCCAGGTCCAAAACTCGGAGCGAGACAAACCCGGCAATGCCAAATGCTACACTGAAGGCGCCCATCCACAAGCTCTGGCGGTGCACCTCGGATTCCGTGGCGATCGACGATACAAACGCTTCCGCGACGCCGTTGATAGCTAGGAGCGGGATATATAAGCAATACCGCGCCAACACTGCTCCGGCTCCGCTGGCGGACCATTTGGTGCCCGCGACAATCTGAACCACCAAAGGCGCAGCGTAGGGCCCCACGGTAATAACCACCGTACTTAAGAGGACGTAAAACTTCAGGAGCGCCTGTAAATCCGAACGCGCCTTGGCGACGGTTTGCTTTCCGGGAGAGCTCTTTGCAGAAGAGAGTAGCTTGCTGAAATAGTTGCGACTGCTCTCCTCGATAGGTTGGAAGACTAAGCGTGCAAGCAAGCTCCCGTAGTTATTGGCGAGAGCATAAACGCCTTGGGATCTCGAGTCGGAGAGGATGGAAACTAGAAATGTATCGCCCTGGGTAAGGAGGTGCTTTACGAACGATTGAGCCGTCAAGCTATATGCGAGTTGTAGGGTCGGTCCATAAAAGTATCCGAGTACATAATCAGTGTCGAGAGCCTGCGCTGTCTCTACTTTCTTGTTAGTCCCTTTCTGCGAGGGAGGACTTGTCCTTAGGAAAAGGGAGAAACCCTCGGCAGACGCCAATTGTGCGCCATACCACGCGTAAACAGCGAGGAGTCCCGTGCCGTAGGCTAGTTGTCCGAGGGCAAATGGTAAGACGCCAATCTCCAAACCCTTCCTCCAGGCCCAATTAGCCGCCCCGAAGGTAACGAGGCATCGAAAGAATGTGGCGAGAGACTCGGCTGCGGCACGAGGCCCAAAGCGTAATCGATATTGCAGTATCACGAAGGCGGGCTCGGAGAGTAACTCGACCATAGCCGCCACGGCGTATATACGGAGGGCGACATCGAGGTAAGGCGTAGCAGCGGTAGCAACGTCGACATAGCTAAGGTAGGCCCAGCCCAGTCCGACAGAAGCTCCCAGACCTAACAGGAGAGATATATGCGCAATGTTCACGACAGATTGGCTGTCTCTCGCATTCTTGGCTAGGCCGTCACCAGAACGCGAAGTAGATGGGCTCTCCTGGCGCTGGATAGCTACGCGCAAACTCTCGCGGGCGAAGAATAGGACGGACAAGTAGTAGACTTCGAGCTGAGTTGAAACTCCTAGTAGCTGAGCGGTTAGGAAGCGGAGCAGCAGCTGGTTGGCTACGAAGGTGATGGCGCGCGACGCGATCTGGAGGCCTATGAGCAGGGATGCGCCGTGGACGGCAGAACCTTGGTTCGGAATGGAATTGGTATGCAGCTTTTTGTCATTGGCATCCTTCGAGGCATCTAGTTGGTCGATCATGGTTGTACCGCATCCAATGGTTTAATGTTCCATTTTGGTACAATTTTGGCACGCGACGGAAATGATGACAAGTTTCGGTTTCAATAATCACGGTCCGGCTTTTCGCGATTACCTAACTTTTCGGGGTCCGGGCGCTGATGGAACGCTACAGCCGCTACCGTCTAGCGCCCTTGCGCCGATACCTACATGTAGGTACCGATAGGCACCGGAGTTACATCATCTAAAATAAAATTAGATTTCTTTTTACCTTGACGTGCAGTTCTCCCACTTTCTTCTCGAAAAAACCCCGTGGGGGCTATGGTCAATAAATGCCCCATATTTTGACAGAATTCTTGTTAGGTGCAAATTTACAATTAAACTACTGCATATCAAAACATACTAATTGAGAAGGACCGATGACAATCCTGACCGCTCGACGCTTGATACCGCAATAGAATATCGGTCCGATGTCTGTATGTGACTATTGCACCCCCAGCCAGGAGCGAAAATTAATGGCCGGGTCTTGGCATTTAACCTCTTTAAATAATCAACGAGTATAACAACAGAACAAATTGTAAAACAATTATAATAAAAATATAAAAATTATATTTAATAATAATAAAGGCCAAAGAATTAGTTTATATTTCTTTCTATTTTCTATGACCATCTTTCATATTTACTTTTTGAATAATACGTGGTGTTGAACTTGGGGTAAAATGCCAAGACCCGGCCATTAATTTTCGCTCTTGGCTGACCCCAATCTAACCCCAATCTAACCCCGTAAAACCCCGTAAAACCCCATCATTTATTGCTATCCAAATCGAAACCACAACAAACCTCCTCTACCCCACTGGCTGGCTCTAAAACTCCAGATGATGTAGCCTCCATCGTCACCAGTTTGATAAATGCCAGTTCGTCAAGAGGACCCGATCCACGAGAGACTTCAGCTGAACGACATGTCGCATCAACCATCCCTCTATACGTCATGGGTAGCCGATCCTACGCTCTTTCGAAACTGCTGCTTACTATTCAAGAGCACCTTACATACTGGTAGGGACTTGGCTGGTGGTCACCGCAAGCCTATCGTTCAAGGTTGCAGATGAGTGTATGGCTTAGGTTTTCGAAGCATGATGTATCGAACTTATGTTTGCTCGGCGTTATTATGGTCAGCTCTCGAGCGATGGGAGTTGGTATCGGCGAAAATGCCTACATTGGATCATGTATGGTGATGGCGCCTCGGGGAACGTGGAGAATGAATGGAGAATGAATGAAGAAATGGGGAAGAAATAGGGAAGAAATGGGCCGACTTGTTAGCCTTTGAGGCTGGAATTGCTCTTCAGAACGTCTCCGTTCCCCCACACACACGCCCACACATCCTCCCCATGGTTAGACCAAACCAGTTAGGCTCGTGGAATTCGCCGTGGCTGCGTAGATTTTTTGTTGACGACACTTGTCGCCTCCCCTGCAATAAACGTACAGGGTAGGGTTCCAGGTACGACCTAGAATCCCGAACACGGAGGGCTACCTACATAGATGATAGTATAGGTATCCTACGGCGACGATACGGTACCAAGCCGCTAATGCAATGGAGCTCTACGCCCGCATCCATCCAGCCTAGGCTTCTTGGGAAACCCCGTTGATCTGCTGTTGTGCATGTAGTACAGCATATACTTGAATCAGAATTATTTCGACCTGGTTGGCTATAGGCTATATGCTATATGCAAACTTCGTGCTTTAACGTTGCTTGTAAGACAGGTATGTAGAGTGAGATGAACAACTTTCTATTCGAAGAGCCCCTCAAAGGTCAATTGCGCATACCAATGTACCTTTTAGCTTCGTGTAGCTCAGCTTAGCTTCTACATATGATGTAGTCTTGACCTTCCATGTTTAATGTAGTCGTTCGATGTAACCGGTCCCGCGCATTAGGATTTGCGATGCTATCAGATTGTAGGGTGTATCAAGCCTAAATCTCTGCACCACAATCAGAGCGGCCGCAACTTGTCAGGCCTCGTGAAGTACAACATTGCCAATAATCATGTCTGGATAAGAAAAAGAACTTTGATAGTGATTTCCGGGGATCGAGTCCTACTACATACCTAAGGTACCCCACCTTCTATCCCCCTATCCCCCTATCCCCCTATCCCCCTATCCCCCTATCCCCCTATCCCCAGTTGCAGCCCCATAAGCTTAGAATTTGCGAGGCAGGAACAACGACATCAAGGGTCTCGACTTCCACGCCACATACGCTACGTATGATCTTCAGTACCTCGTGCCTTCTTTCAGGCAGTAAATCCCTCGTGACTCCCCACTCCATCTTATTTCTCTCTTGATAAAATATTTCATCATCCCCTGACCCCTGTTACGTGAATTAAGATCGCGTCTACACCGAACGGGTTACATAAAGTACAGGTACCTAAGGTATATAAACTTCAGCATTACCTAGCATACTTAAACTTCCCCCGTCCCTAGTGTCCCGAACGACAGCAACCCACACCCTCCTATCCGTGCGATACGTAGTATTCGCCGATTTATAAAATCGAACGGCGCAACAATACCTTCGCAATGGGTCGCTTCACTATCCACAAGCCCGAGCAGGACGCCGGCAAGGCGTGGCCTGCCATCGCCATCGGTCTATTCGTAGCATTCGGTGGCATTCTATTCGGGTATGTTTAGCAACATCCTCAGGGCGTGTGATAGTTCGCATTGTTCTCCTTTGCGCTAACTTCCAATCTTAGTTACGACACCGGAACCATTAGCGGTATTCTAGCTATGGACTTCTTCCAAAACCTCTTCTCAACCGGTTACGTCAACACTCACGGCCATCTGGACGTCTCGCCCTCCCAATCCTCCGCCATCGTGTCGATTCTCTCTGCGGGCACTTTCTTCGGAGCTTTAGGATCGCCGCTCATCGCCGATACTATAGGTCGCCGCCTATCGCTCATCGTCTCTTCATGGGTCTTCATTTTCGGCGTCATACTCCAGACCGCTGCTACGGCCCTACCTCTGTTCCTGGCCGGTCGTTTCTTTGCCGGCTTCGGCGTCGGTCTGATATCTGCGCTAAGTATGTCCCTCGCAAGTCCTATTCGGCTTCTGGGTGAGCTTCGGCTAACATATGGTATAGTTCCCTTGTACCAAAGCGAGACGGCACCGCGTTGGATTCGAGGTGCCATCGTAGGCGCGTACCAGTTTGCCATCACGATCGGTCTACTCCTCGCCGCAGTCGTAGACTACGCCACGCAGTACCGCCAGGATACCGGCTCGTACCGCATCCCTATCGCCGTGCAGTTCGCCTGGGCCATCATCCTCATTGCCGGGATGCTTCTGCTACCGGAGACTCCCCGGTACTTGGTCAAGAAAGGACAGCAGGATAAGGCTGCCCGTTCTCTTGGCAAGCTCCGAAGGATCGATCGCAACCATGCCGCTATCCATGATGAGTTAGCCGAGATTAAGGCGAACAATGATTACGAGCTGAGCATCGGAACGGCCACTTATCTTGACTGCTTCCGCGGTCCCATGCTAAAGCGACTTCTCACCGGTATGGGAATACAGGGGCTTCAGCAGCTAACAGGTAACGCGCGCCGGTTATCCTTCCAACGTTTAAAGATTCCTCACTAACGTTATCGTAGGTGTCAACTTTGTGTTCTACTACGGCGTAAATTATTTGTCAGTACAATATTGTTTAGATCCTCTTTAGAGAAATCCCAGGGTGGTAAAGAGTGCAAAGCTAACATGGAACTTTTCGATATTGTAGCAAGAACTCGGGCATCCAAGATCCATTCACGATCCAAGTAATCACGTCTTGCATTAACGTCTTCTCAACTCTCCCTGGTCTGTGGGCTGTGGACAGGCTTGGTCGTCGCCCGCTTCTCTTATGGGGCGCAGTCGGAAGTAAGTAAAATCCGGATTTATTTCCCCCTATTTTTCATATTTATTTTCTTGTCTCGTGAAATGATCACTAACAGTTCTCGCTGCAGTGTGTATCAGCCAATTCCTCGTGGCCATGCTCGGCACCCTGACGACGGGGCAAGACGAGGCAGGTAATGTCGTGGTCTATAACGTCGCGGCGCAGAAGGCCGGTATCGCCTTTATTTGTATCTACATCTTCTTCTTTGCCAGTACCTGGGGGCCTCTTGCGTGGGTAGTGACGGGCGAGATTTTCCCCCTAAAGATGCGAGCCAAGTGCCTCAGCATGACTACCGCCACTAACGTAAGTTGTTCTCGCCTATATAATTATTATGTCCCCTCACTCCGAGATGCGGTGCTGACTGCTTATACAAATAGTGGCTCCTGAACTGGGCGATAGCCTACGCGACCCCGTATCTCGTCAACTACGGCGAGGGTTACGCCAACCTGCAGTCCAAGATCTTCTTCGTGTGGTTCGGCGCTTGTTTCATCTGCATCGCCTTCGTGTACTTCCTCGTATACGAAACCAAGGGGTGGTCGCTTGAAGAGGTCGACGAGCTATATAGCGAAGTGAGCAGTGCGCGCAAGAGTGCTGCGTGGACCCCGAGCTCTACATTTTCGCAGCGACAGGGTGTCACCACGACGGCTGTTGATAGTACTGCAACTAATGGGCAAGCCGAAAAGTTAGCCGAGAGTGAAGGACACACCGGCGTTTCGCATCATGACGAAAAATCCGTAGTATAAAATTAGTGGCACTCTTAGCTTTATCTATTTAATATTCGTCTGACTTTGGCATGTACTTCAAAACACGTCGTTTTCCAGATATCTCCTGAGCTAGTCTTAGCAAGGGGATTTGCTCAAGGGTCGTGAGAAAGCATGTATTTTATGAACTGAGTACTAACCAGGCTCTGTAATCAACACTAGAAACTAATCCATATTGGCCTATTTATATCCGGTTCTCGGCCTACAAGCTAATTGCTTATCCTCGTCCTAAGCGCGATCCTTCACGCCCATCAATGGCTTATATAGATTGCGGCCGTACTAAAATTAGGACGTTGTAGGGACCGCAGCAGGCCAATGCATCCCATGAAACCCAAACCCTATAGCGAAATCGCACTCGGCGCGTCCCAGTTCGCGTAGAGTCTTCGCATCCAAGCATAGCAGATAACTCGTCTTACCAGCCCCGTCGAGCACGACACTCAGGAGCACGCCGTCATCTTCGTCCAGGTCTCCATCTCCAGGCGACCTCGGACGCGGTACGAAGATAGGCTCTCCCGGCGTGTGTCCGCTTGGGCTGTCCCAGAATATCGTCCCGTGTGTTAATACGTCTGTCTTCACAATAGTATCGAAGAGGGTGCTGTAACCGCGGTTGGCTATGCTATATACGTAGCGATGTTTCTTAGTCGCGTATGTCGGGTTGATCGTAGGTAGTTCGCCAGCATGCGGTGCCTTGATTTCGAAAATTTTCTCTGCATTCCGTCGAGTTGCTGACGTATCCGTATCGTTCGTGTCTGGTTTGGGGATCCCAAGTTTCCATCGAGTAAGTCGAACGTGACAGTTGCGATTACGCTCTTCGTCGCCCCAGAATTTCTTGGCCGCGCCGTTCCTCTGGAGCATGACGTCCACTTCATACGCTCTTATCACGTCAAGGTTAGGATACTGCATCACGTCGCAGTACACGTTAAGGTCGCCCGTCTCCTCGTCGCGCTCCTCAAATGAGTTTACGCTGTGGAAGTAAAAAGCTGCCGGGCTATCGAACATGGCAACTACACCGCGGTCGCCGAGACGGTCGACGACGAACCACCTGCATAATTTCGACTCGTCGAAGGTGTCGATGGCTTCGACGATATTGCCCTTCCAAGGAACTTGAATGCCATTCGTACCGAGATGGGATGATGGAACACACAATATGGCAAAGGAAGGTGTGAGATAAAACGAGTGAATGTACGCCGGCTTCACGTCGACAGCGGATATCGTAGCTATAATTTCGGTTGCTCCGGTTGACGCGCTTGTGCAGAAGACACGATACGTTGACTTATAGCCCATTTCAAGATTATAGTTGTAGTAGTCGCCGGTTTCTGGGTCTCTCTGGGCGTGGGCGCAGCTCAGCGGACCTCTAAGGAGCGGGTGGAGCGCTTGTTGTCTAGCTATACCTATCGGCTCCAAGGTATTCTGGTCGATCTCTTTCATGTTTCCGTTATCCGTAGTCAGCCATAGAGTCTTGATACCTGCTCGGTGGCCAGACTCGGCGGTCGTCTTAGCTTTCGACGGCAAACCGGGCACGTTTGCTTGGAAGGCAACGGAGACATTGTCAAAATTAGGATCCTCCCGTTTCGGTGATCCTCTCCAAACGCTCATGATCTTGCCAAATAGACCGATGCATGGGTCCATCTTTTGCCCGAAACCGATATCAGGTCTTTTCCCATCTTTCTTAATAGCGTCGTATAGAGCCTGACTCTGACGTCGAGATGTATATGCGACCCTTACAGGGCTACCGCCATTGTCTGAATTGGGAATGATACTAAATTTATGTGATTGGCCTAGGCCGTCGAACCAGTGTGTAGTACGGAATGTGCCTTTCGGGGTATTTTCGACGACATACTGCCCGGGGCCGGTGCGGTACAGTGTGCCAGCAGCCCACGTCGGGATAGAACCTTTGATAGAAAGTTCTACGGGACCGCGTATCTCATTTAGGCCTTCGAACTTATAATACATCAGCATATTATACGGGTGAAGATAGTATAATGGGGGCTTACTCCTGCTTCGTTTGGCCAGTCTTCAAAATCAGCTTCCAGCATTCCTCGCACCGCAGTTTCAAAATCGGTATCTTCGTTTTGAGGTCCTCCAATAATTGCCCTCTTTCGTATATCTTGTGTCTCTGTGTCTGTAGCCATGATGCTCCGGAGGTTGTTAATGGCGTATGTCCACGTGTCTCAAATTCCAGAAAACCGAAAGACTATTGGTATTTCTAACCGGCGTGTGGGCTGAGCTGAAGTGGGCGGGTAGGATTATATACCCAAGGTACCTAACGGTTATGAATGGACTCGGTGATCTTTAAGCCGGGGATTCGGGCCCGACTCATTCAAATTGTTTGACTGTTCGTTACCGTAAGGAGAACATAGGACGTCGAAGCCCCGTGGATATGATATAACGAAGTAGTTCGTCTCTTAAAGATAAACGAATGCGAGACTCGGTATTAGTAATACAGATTCTATTCGTCGCCCACGCGACCAACTGGCTGCCGTGAATGTTCGATAACTCCAATGCGAGGGAGTCTCTGTATTGCTTGGCAGGTTACTTCAGATCTCGGCCAATAGAAATGCTGCTATTAGTATCTAAGGCCCAAAGATCCGATGGACTTGGTCAGATACTCTACGTCTGAATATGTACGTAGCTCCCCTTGCGCAGAGCTCTTTCACTCACGTCTGCCAATGACGAAGGCGAGGTGACGATCGAGAAGGAACGTAGTAGACTAATAACGACGGGCCAATTATAAAAGGTTTAACCGTTTCGAATTCCTTGTCGGAGGAATTGGTAAAGGTTAGATACCTGTTGTGACTTGACAGCAAGGAGATTATGAAGCCGAATGGAGGCTACCTGAGGATCTATGATTAGTTTAGGTTAGACACCTAAGTTTATGTGAATACCCAAGGTAGGATAGAAAATTCTCTTGCTACTCGAAGCTGTGATGTGCCGGGATTCAGTAGGACTTGATAGTTTGCTAGTAGCTATTTTTGTTGAGAAGGGGCGCATCTTTCAGGTGGAGAAGACTTCAAAATAGAACGGCTCTTAATAGGTACATGATAGAATGACAAGATGACAGAAAAAAGTACTGAGGCTCTAAGTCATGATTCATGAATCACATAGACGTAAGCACTTACATGTCAAATCGGTTATATTAGTGGCTGCAAGTCTGCAGATTGTAAAGACATGTACTTGCCTTATTCAGGGCTTGAATCCATTCGTCGTCCAATAGACGTCTAGTGGCTTTCTAATTATCCCGAAAGGTTGACAAGGGATATTGAATGGCTTTCCCGATTGGCCGACTTTTTCGGTAAGTTCTGCACTACAGCGGTACCTCACTGAAGTACTTTGACTTAGGAACTTCGCATTCGCTTAACTCCAAGCCTCTTTTATCATTCGGCGATTCGTTAAGATCTTTTTCTCTCATCATCATGGTCGACACTAAGCTAACCTAGTCATAAGAGGATTATTAGTAGAAAATCCACGAAGACGAGTCATCGGCAACACAGTAGAGGATTAGGTAATGTGTAAGATGGTAACCCCGTAATCTCCGCCACCTCCTTGCTAGCATTTTGCTATTTTGTACTTGAGGGGCTGAGGCTGAACTTGTAACTAAATCGTTCATAATCCAATTACCATCCGTCCTGCCATAAGACAGCAACATGGTATTTCCTAGCCGCGGCTGCATTACCTGTAAAACTAGGCGCATCAAGGTGAGGCGTAATATACCCATGAGACGGGAAAACTACTCGATCACCGCAAACTAAGAAACTCCAGTGCGATTCGGTCCATCCATTGTGTGGCCGATGCCAGAAAGCAAGTCGAGATTGTGTTTGGGATCAGAACGAAGAAGCTGGTTTACTATTCAAGGATGAGAATCCCTTCGCTCAAGGCAAACCCCGGCGTCCTTGGAAATCGAAGGTACAAGAAGTATCAGCACCGGAGGTTGAAGTGGTCGACTCGGCAGTATTTTCCGTATCGTCCTTCGTTCTGGCGGAAGATAAAGCATTGCAATTCTGGCTCAATAATTACATATTCCGAGACGACGAGATTCCCGAATTCGCTCGAGAGTATAACCACTACTTGATACCTTACCGTGATATAGCCCAAAATGACTCGAGCCTTCACCTAATTATATCGGCCCTTTCGCACGCTGTATTCGGCCGTGTAATGCGGTTGGACAAGTCGATTGAAGAAGCCGAGAAGCTATTCGCACGGAGCATCGAGAACGTGCAAAGCGAGATCCTCCAGCTATCGCAGAGCAACATCGACGAGCTTCTCCTTACGACGATGCTGATGGCTGACTACAAGGTATGAGTAGAAGTCCACAAGCCCTTTAGCAAGCACAGCCTAATACGTCCTTGCTATAAGAACGTCACGGACAGATGCTGTGGCCGTCGTAACCAGGATGAAGTTTCACTTTTGAATCTCGACGTGACCGGATCACGGATCTGGAAGAATACTTGTCATTACGATGGAGCTGCGGACCTCTTGAGGCAACGGCAGCAAAACAAATGGACGCCGAATCCTTTTCTGGATCGAGCCGTGCGACGACGATTAGTAAGTATCCGGATATTCGTAATAGATATGCTGCTCACCAAGACCAGATTCGGGTGTGCATTCTCCGAGGCATATCCGTTGTTGAGTGGCTTCGAGACGGGGTCCAGTTCGGCGAGGAAGGCCCCGTTCTAATCCTCGATTCGATCATGGTCCGCGTAGCCGCTCTCCGTGAGAGGTCGCTTTGTCTTTTCCTTCCGAAAAGTGCAAGATTCTCATCTCAACCGCATCCGGGCGACCTTGCAGCCGAGGCTCGATCGCTGGACGCCGCATTAGAATCGTGGTCTGCTGCACTCCCTGAAGATTGGAAATTTACCACATGGTCGGATTCCACGCCGGATTCTACCTTTGATGGGTTAATTCATGTCTACGCCACGTATGGCCACGCTGCCATATGGTGTCGATACTACGCTACCCGTTTAGTTGTCAACAGCATCCGCAATAGAGCGCTCTTCGTTATGGCTCAATGCTCATTTCAGATGTTATCTGTAGCCCCAGAGCGGGATTTATGTCTAGGAAAGACGGCATCCCTAGGAACAGACTTGTGTCGCAGTATTCCGGTCTTCTTCACCTCCGTCACTACGAAAGGGAATCCCACAGCTGCAAGAGGAACTGTGATCAACGATAATATTGTTCGCGTTAATCAAGACATCAAACCTAAGCTAGCGACGCTCTTAGCATGGCCGCTGATACTGGCTATTAATGCGGATAATATCCCAGAGTCCCAAAAACAGTGGCTAAAGAACAAATTAAAGTCTGTTGCTAACACTTTAGGAGATGCCATTCTTGAAACAGTTATCGAGCAGAATGAATTGAAGTTCTAGATACAGTATAGCACCCTTCTACTTCTTAAAAAACGCAGTACTCTGAAATAGAGGATAATGACTTAGTCGAAAAGTCCAAAGACGGGCTTAGGAACATAGGGTTCCTCGAGGAACTTGACCTCTTCAGCCGTTAACGTCTTTCCTCGCGCATCGCATGCCTCGTCAATCCTATCAATCGAGTTGAAACCGACAATCGGTATGGTTCCTTTCGTATGATGCCACGCGAGATTGACGTTGCTCATCTTCCAACCTTTCTCGACGGCAAGCTTTTCCACACGGCGAATAATTTCCTCCTCGTCGGGTCGGAGATCTAAGCTGATGGGACTGGGTGTCTTGGAGCGAGTCGAGTCATCCTGTCCCAAGGGTCGGGCCAGCTTACCGCCGAAGTTAGGAGAGTACGGCAGGATACCGACGCCTGTGTCGTTACAGTAACGAATCATCTCACGTTCCTCTTCGCGATAGCACAAGTTGTACAAGTTTTGCATACTGATGAACTTGGTCCAGCCGTTGCGCTCGGCGACCGCCTGCATGCGCACGAACTGCGTCGCCCACATCGAGCTCGCGCCGATGTAGCGCACCTTGCCGGTCTGTACCAGGTCGTGTAGCGCCTTCATCGTCTCCTCGATAGGCGTGGTTGGGTCGAATCGGTGGATTTGGAATAAGTCAATGTAACTCGTGCCCAGACGCCTCAGTGACGCCTCAACGGCGTTAAAGATGGCAGAGCGAGAAAGACCTGTGTTGTCGTTAGCCTGATGCTCATAATTTCTCCGTTTATTATGTATGAATGGATAAATACGACGCTACTCGAATTAAATATTGCTTACCCCCTTGGTTGACATAGTCCTTGCTCTGGCTAAGTACTCCTCCAAACGGAGCGGTGAATACGCTCGAATCTTCCCCGACGTATAGGAAACACTTTGTCAAGATTATAACCTTCTCTCTCGGGATGGAGAATTTCTGAAGCGCTTTTCCGATAATCTCTTCGCTGATGCCGTTGGAGTAGGCGTTTGCTGTGTCCCACGTGTTAATGCCCCTGTCGTAGGCGGCCTTGAGAATTTCGAGGGACTTCTCTTCATCTAGTACCCACGGCAGCCACTTCGAGGAGCCCAGGGACATGGCACCCAAGATGGGCGAGGACACACGGAGCCCTGAAGAGCCTACCCTAGCATAATCGACATTGGTATTGTCGATGCTCTTCTGGAGAGATGCCGGAACTGGGAATTGAGTCATGATTAAGGTGAATTAATGATGTTGGAGTCTCGAATTAGGCTGAATGACGAAAGATTAATCTCGATATTTGAATATAATAAATTTTTGATCTGATGAGGGTTCATTCCCTTTATATATGTATCATTTCATTCCTCTTCAACACCCCTCTCAACCCGTCACGCGGGGCTTCGTAGTACATATTCTCCACGTCTAGAGCTTTTGAGGCTCCTAAGCGAAATATTCATAGTCGAATGATATTCCCCGTGGGCGGGAGTTAAGATAGTGTTGTCCGAAGTCCGCAACATGGAGGAATATAGATCGTACGCCTACTTTTATTTCTAAGCAGCTCGCGAGATTTTCCAAACGTGGTCTAGCACCAAGAGCTCGCGGGTTTTTCTGAAAGGGGAATAGTCCCAATAACTATCTCCTATGCCTAACATATTGGGCACTATTTTGCCTGATATAAATGTACATATGTATGTATTACATCAAGACCATCAAGGTACTCATTCAATCATATCCCATATCTACATATACATGCGTCCATCCATCCCAAGTTCTCAACCTAGCTTCGTCCTCTAATTAAGGCTGGGCCAAATGCTTCAATACCTCGTCAACTGAGGACTGCCCGCACACGCCGGTAGCGAGAATTTAGTCTCGGCAAATACCTTTTGCATACCGTCCTCGTGCTTCTCGAACTTGGCATACACCTTATCCAAGTCTTCTAGGTGAACGCGGTGAGATACCATCTGAAGAGGGTCTAGATCACCGTCCCGGATCATCTTTAGTAAGTCTTCCCAGTACTTGTGTACAGGTGCTTGGCCGTTGCCGATGAGTCGAATACCCCTTTCCATAAGAGATCCGATGTTGAAATGGTTGGTCTAAGGTTGTTAGCAATACGATTTGGTATTACGAAAGTGTCAAAGAGTCAAGAACTCACGTAGCCGACGTATATGCCAGTAACTCCGCATCGACCAAAGCTTCGGACGCCCTCTATCATCTCGTTAAGGATTTCGCTCGTGTCGGTCTCTGCACCCAATGTCATCTCGAGCCAGTGCATCCAGCTCTTTGCATATTCGCCCGCGGCACACTACAAAATTTGGCGTCAGCTAACAGCTCATATCTGCGGCAGCTAAATTCTGAAATGGGATGAACATAGTATTTACTTCAATAGCTGCATCCGGACCCCTTCCACCGCATAGATCCTTCAGCTTTGACACGACGGTCGGCTTATTTGTTACGCCGAACGACAGCTTCTTGTAATCGACCAGCTCTAGCTTCTCAGAGTGGTCTGCGAGCCAGTGATTTCTGATAAAAGTGAGACGTGGCTCGGTGTCGACGAAGATGATCTTGGTGGCCCCGGCTTTGATTGCGAAGATTCCAGCCATCTGACCGATGGGACCGGCACCAAATATAGCTACCTGATCGCCGGGGTAGACGGCAGTGTCGTGCACGGCGTTGTAGCTTGTTGCTAATACGTCGCTAAGATATAATGCCTTTTCGTCCGGTACGTCGTCGGGTATCTCGAGGAGATTCACGTCGCCGAGCGGAACGCGAACATACTCAGCCTGACCGCCCGCGAAACCGCCCGTGAAGTGCGAGTAACCAAACATCCCGGCAGTCTGACCGCCGTACATGGCTCTCTGGGTAGTGTTGGAGTTGGTGCGCTCGCATTGAGATGACAGCTTCTGCTTACAGAAAAAGCAATCACCGCACGCGATCTGGAACGAGGCCACGTACCGCTTGCCTTTTTGAACTTTCTTGACCGCTGACCCAACCTCATCAACGATACCGCAGAATTCGTGGCCTAGGATGTCACCTTTACTTAATTGGATGACAGTTCCTGCAAAAGCCCGTTAGTATGAGAATTCGTCAAGAGGAAGAATGCGAATTCTGGATTGCAGCGGCTTACCGTGGTATAAGTGAAGGTCGCTTCCGCAGACCGTGCTGCCGGTGACTTTGAGGATTACGTCGTTGGGCTCGATGATCCTCGGTCTGGGTACATCGCGAACCTCGACAGTATTTTTACCCATCCAGCATAACGCCTTCATCGTCTCTGCTCTGCCAGCTTCTCCGCTATAGTTGCTAACATCTTGTGCGGTGATTGAACTTCCGTCATGGCCGATGGCCTTCTCAGCAAGGTATGCCCCTTGTGATACTGACATTATTTTCCGATGCTTCTTTGTTTATCCCTTAATATTGTGCTTTGCCAGACAGGCGGCTTGAATATGCTGTCTTCACCGAGCTCTCGAGTGTAGGTCGCAGTCTTATAACGGACGGCACACATCGTGACAATAATATCAGCGCATCATCATATAGCCAGATTTACCGGGATGAGTTCTAGCCCCCACACGTTGAGATCGAATAGGAAAGCTTTGGTGTCACCAGTGTATGACGTTGTGATTGGAAATTGGGTCAAGGCACATGAGACTGGCATACGTCATGACTTCTAAGACGCGGACGCAAGCGCGGAGGCTAACTGTAGTGTATAGTATCAACCACTTTATACAGCCTAGGAACATATTGATAACGAGATATGGTAGGTGGTAAGAAGCTTCACAGATTGTTCGATATGAGAACCAAGGTTGTTCGCATAACAGCGATTCTACTCAAGTATAAGACCGATGGTGATGTTAAATATTCCTTAAAAATGGGTTTAAGTTGAATCCCCTCCCCCACATGGCGATCCCATATGCCAACTCCAAGGCATAAAGCTCAATTACCGAATTGGTATGCCCGTTCTATGCCAGTATGCGCATGCGCAACTCTTAGCCAATTCTATATATTCCTTTGATATCTTAACCTTAGTCGCTGGCTATTTAAACCTTAGGTAGTTATTTGTGAATGTCATCAAGTGAATAGGGGCGAAGATGAGAGCATAATAGTTAATTCAAACTAGGACCTTAGCTAATTGGACTACTGCATCATCATGGTCCCATTCAACTAAACTCCGTTTCTTACTCTCTTCCATTTTCATTTCAATAAAAGGCTCCATCGGCTCGATCTGTTGTTGAGTGAGGAGGCTGAGTCTAGCGTGATGATCGCACTCCTCATTATCTCCAAAATATTCCGTGTCTAAGAACCTCCAGAATATGAAATCCAATGCCCAACTGTTTCTAGCTGCGTAATTAATCATCCATGTTCTCTTCTCCCAGCTGTTTCTCATTCTCTCTGAGAGAGGTACAGCTTCTTCTAGGGACGAGGAAGTAATCGTATTACCTGCGATTTCATAACGACCCTTCTTCTTCTTCTTTTCTTCAATCTCTAGCACTCGAAGGAATGTTTCTAGGCGAGGTTCGCATGCCTCCATCCAAGATTTATATCCACCATCCCAATATTCTGGACTTTTCAAGAGAAGCCACCAAGGGGGATCAAATGAGAACTGTGCCGGCGCAGCGTAAGCAAATTCCCAATCGATCACGCCGACTACGTGGTCATCTTTATCGATTAAAACGTTTGACGGACGCAGGTCTTCGGAATATAATCGAAAGCTGGAATCGTTGGCATCCTTTTTCCTAGCATCCAGTCCCGATGTAAGTCGCCCTTCTGATGCGAGCCGTCGGAAAAGCTGACGCGCTACGTACTTATCCCGCGCGTCATCTTCATCCAAGACGGCATCGTTATGTTGAAATGTAAGCTGTGCTAGATGCATGTCGGCCAGGGTGCAAAGCCATTCGGTAGAGGTATCGTAAGATCGGGATGGTAGTAATGTTGGAGCGACACCCGCAAACTCTAGTAGCGAGTTCATATTTTGAATGAGAGGTCTCCCGGACACGGAAATATCACCGTGTTCGTCTTGGTCTAGCGAACCAATTTTGGGGAATTTCAGCGTAGATAGCTGCAAGACGATATTGGCCATCTGCCCATAGAGAAACTCAAGCCGTCCCTCGTCGATGGTAGGATCTAACACAAGAGACTCGTCAGGTTCGAGAGCAGGGTCCTTAAGGGCATCAGACATCGTCCTCTCATGCTCGACATAGTCCATAATGATAAATGGGCCTAAGCCAACCGGGTTTTCTGCTGCTGTTCCGAAGTGATATATCTTGGGCACTGGAATAGTTGTATTCGCTGCGATATAACGCATTGTGGCGACCTCGTAGCGGACTTTCTCTTCTGGAAACTTGACACCTATTCATTCTTGGTTAATATACTTTAATACGTAAGGGGCGTCTATGATTCAGTACCTTTACAGGGGATTCTCATACCGGCGGACGAGCCATCTTTATATTCTAGCCGATAAAAGGCGTTATACCCTCCTCTAATCGGCTTATGCAGTTCTACAGCCTCGCCCGGCCGATATTTATTAATCAGACTGGCGATTCCGCGGTATATATGTGACTTGTTGAGTGACCTCTCCCATGCTTCGATATCTTGGTCACTTTTCTCCCAAGCAAGGTCATCCTTTTCCATACGGACATATCTTAGTTTTGGTGGCATGACTGAATACCAATGTTTTGAGAATAGGTCTCTCAGTCTCAACTCGATCGATTCACTATGTTTGGGAGCCTAAGGTTGTGATGTTATAGAAACGCAAAAGGACTGCTAATCTGTGCACCTTGGCCCACACACGTACAAGGGATGGATCAGTTAGGCATCTCAAGGACGTGTTTGTATAATCATACCTAAACGCCTCTAATTATACAACTGAATTATAAAACTAGGCAACCCCTCCGGATAAAGGGGTTATATGCGTGTATATCTGTAGTCGCTGTTGGTTTAAGCTTGTAATTTTCGCCTGATGGTTGTTCTAATTATATTGTTTTCTCACAAGATGGAACCAAACAGCATGGAAACAAGTGTGTTGTTCCGCGAGGAACTCTAACCTAATTACGGGAGCCTATGGCTAGTTATATGTACTAAACATGTTCTTTGTTCTAGATGTCCCATCTAGTAACCCGAGTGTAAAAACATCAGACTAACAGCCTACATGGAAAGTCTGTCATTTGATCGTTATATTGATCCGAGATGATAAGGCTGTATTCGAACGGAGACTCGGTGTGAGAAATGTATATACGTGACTGCAGCCTCTAGGGCTTGCAGCTTGAACTACAAAATAATTGAAGTGTCTCATAGCCCCGAATCTTCAAGATCTAAGTAGTGACCTCAACCCTAATTCTACATCAAAGGAGTACAACTCGTTTATCAAGTACGCTAGTTAATCTGTAGAACAGTTCAGAATGGCCGACAGCATTAGAATCCCTAATGATAAGGAGGAAGCTCTTATGAAAGCCTCCGCTGAGGCTTACAAAAAGCGTCGAGAGGAAGAGGCAAAACGTAAGCAATCTGAGGAATTGATGAAGGGAGCAGCTGATAATTCTAAGAGGAGACGAGAAGACAACAAAGTGAAGATGATCTAGTAATACTAGCCAAAACTTCCATATTGAAATGTAGAGATTGCTACGAAGTCGTATACGATTCTTCATAGCTAATAGCCTCGAACTATGTTCGCTTGCTTAATAGTATTTAGGACTTAGAAATTTATTCTTATCTTGTTACTTGAACCTGATCGATTTGTCTCAATAGTCTGCCAGGATTCTAAATGAAACATCTAGAACAAAGGACATGTTCAGTATGTATAGACGTAAACTCTCGTAGCTAGGTTAGAGTTCCTTGCGGAATAACGAAGTTGTTTCCTTGCTGTTCGGTTCCATCTCGTGACAGTCTTTACAGACAGCAGGTTGGACATAATAAAGGCGCGTTTTTTTACACTTCCCATTAATTAGCAAGGAACTTAGCCTCGGGATATATTAAAATCGTGACTATCCATAACTGCCCTTTCTAAAAATGGACCTTGGAAATACTTCCAAGCAAAATATAAATCAGTTTGCTTGACTAAAGCTTTAAGCCTCAAGTGACTCCTAATGTATCAAACAATAAAAGGACTTGGGTTCTTAGATAATAGCGAACTGGGTATCGTTGCGTTGCTAAAGTCAAGAGGTATGTATGTTACTTCTCATATACATCCCGCACAATTATAAACTTCTGCCTCGACCTCTTACGAATCTTTCAAGCAACTCCCCCTTCAAACACGCTAATTTCCATCTCTTCAGGGTATCGCTACCGTCTTCTATACTGCCGCACCTCTAATCGATTACCAGAAATTCCCTTTCTTGTCTCCTAAACTTCATCTGGACGGACTAGTACAAAGCACACTCCTACACTTACGCTTCAAGAGACATGGGAAACCCGGACGGGCCTGTGTACCTCTGAGAGATAGAAGCGCCGTTCTGCTCAGCGACGAGCTGGTCCGAAGTTATTTCGTACACGCCGGTGTAGTTGCTGTGGGAGTCCTGGGGCGTTGTGACGCTGAGCTTTAGGCCACCCTCAACCTTGTCAACGGCCCACGAGTACGCTCCCTTCTCTGCGCACCCTGTCCAGCCAACAGCCGGTAGGTAGTCAGGGCCCTCTGTGAGGAATTAGTATTCATGAGAATTCGGTAAATTTAGCTACGTCTTGCAGTAATGACTCCTCCGCCAACTTGACAGGAAGTGCATAAGACAAGCCGAATAAGAATGGTACATACGGAGCATGAGACTGCACTTTGCCGGTTCTGGATTACCAGAGGGCGATTCCGACGCCGGATCAGTAATAGCAAAGAACTCGTAACTAGTCGTGATGTTAGTTTATGGTCGACCATGCTTTGGAAAAATTTGACATACGTGCACATGACGCTGTGAGGAATGCAAGAAGCCGTGAAGTTGGATACGGTGAACCCAGTTGCGTATCTCGACTTGATAGCGGCGCCTGAGGCGGTAGCCGCGAAGAGGGTTGCGAGGAGAGTGTTGAGCTGCATATTGAATAACTAGCTGAATATTAAGTATTTAAACTATGTGTTTGGTTCTTGTTAAGCGAGTGTAGAAAGTTGAAAGATGATATAGAATAGCGAAAGATATCACGATGTGCTTCTCGATGCGATGTAATTATATACAAGCGGCGTCGTCTATTATATAAATGTCTACTCTCAAACTCAGCCACTTTCCCGTATTCAGTAGGCTTGGCTGCGTTGTCTGTCTTAAAACAGACAACTGTCGATAGCAAATACCACGTTGCATGCAACTGTGTTAAGCGACTTCATGCCGCGGATCTCAATTGGGTAGGCGATCATCTCGTATTTATGCCCGCAGGGTCCCTTAGGCGCCGAGTGCACAAGGGATGACGACATCCCATAAACTTCGCTACCCTTCATCTTAATCTTTAAAACATCCTTAATGATGAACGGAATTATCGTCACTTGGTTGTAGTGAGACTCGAATAGGGGTAGACTCAAATCACATACGGTATGAAAGATACCTAGATTATTTCATCCGTCGTAATCATCGAAGAGGTTAGTGCCAATGCTCACTCTACCACGAAACTGGTGGTCTGGTAGGGTGGATTGCGGCCGAAGCCGCGTTGAAGCCCAAAATAGGCTGAACTAAATACGAAAAAATACCTCTTTACTGTAGACAGCAGACAGCAGACAGCAGACAGCAGACAGCATCACGGGTTGGATGTTACGAACAAGCCTACCATAAACTTACCACAAGGTGAACACTTGCCCCCTGACGTACCTATATCAGATTATGAATCCCGGTCTATATGACAATTGATTATTGGCCTTATTTACACTGATAATCCCCACTCGCTAATCCTAGTAGAAGTCTTCCTCGGCGGGCTTGAAACATCGTTTTATTCTGTCAGGGGTTCGGTTTATGTGCCGAAGCCTTGCATCAATCATGTGCTTTTCAGGGTCTTCCGCGGAAATTCTTCGCTCCCGGCCGATGACATTTCGATCTCTGAAATCTCGTGTTTCCCACCCATGATCAACATGGCCCAGAATAGGTATCTCGAATATCTCAAGTATCGCAGCACCGGAGTTCGGCCACACATTCTCCATCGTCAGATCATACACAAATCCTAAATAGCCTCGGCCAAATCCTGATACTACTTCTCGTCCGTCTCTTCTTATTCAGTCTCTGTCGACGTGCTTTTGTGAAAATATCCAGTTCGCCTCTTAAAATTACAAGACAAGATAGTTTAGGTACATATAGTAGCAAGTTTTGCTATAATATAGACTACTACCGCTACTAGTTGGGTTGCTTATAGAGCCAATCGCTATTCGCATCAACCATAAAATTCGTAATGTTATATTCGTTCGCGACGCCGTTTGAATTACCCATACCGCCGCTACCGCCGCCTTCGTTATTCGCCGCGTTTTCCGAGCTCATCTCGATAGAATTCGGTGGGCCCGAAGATGCCTCGTGACTAAACGGTAACCGTGGTACGTTGAAGAAGTCGAAGACGTCCAAGTACTCCAGCTCGTTTGGCGCCGGCGTGCGCGCTGGAGTCACGCTTGGTCGGCGGCTCGGAGCACCCGCCAGGTGACGAGGCTGGCGGCTGATCAAGAAGTCAAGATCGAATGCGGTCCTTCTCATGTCTGCAAGTATCTTGACCGAAGACGGTGTGATCCGTTCCCCTGTCTGGCCTACTGCACGCTCGCTGTCGCTGTGCTCGTCGAGAACTCGTTGGAGTAGCTGACAATACCTCCCCGCTACCGGCCAGTACCTACCCATGTCTCGCAGTATATCGACGAGGAAGGCAATTTGTGGCGCTAATTTATGTTCTACTGTCGAGCCGTGGACGAGAAGGAGTCGGGCAGCTACCCACAACGTGAAAGCGAACGGAGGGCCGAGTTTATTTAGCATGCCATTTTGTACGACGAACTCCCCGAGAGCGGCAATATTCTCTACGGCGCTGAGGCAACGCTGACTTGCACCATACGAAGGAGTAAATATGGGTGATCTGGTAGTCGGGTACGCGGCCGACGAATGTAATCGAATCACGGCCGTGTGATAGGTCGCATGCAGCATAACCCATCCGCAGTTTAGAGTCTTGCTACCGCTAGGTTGAAACAGCTTAGCCATGTTGCCATATTCTCCCGGAAGACCGAATTTCCAGGATGCGAGGAGATTATCGAGCTCCTTGTATCTCAGCTGCCATTGCTCGACGTCTCCTAGCGCGCCGATGTCTACGGGCTGCTTCAGAAATTCGTGAATCTTGGATAGTATGCCGAGGATCTCAATGTAGTATGAGAAGGCACCCAGATTTTCCGGTTTGTTTTGTTCATGCTCCGGGAGGTCCGGAGGACGATCTTGAGTGTGGAACCACCTTGTTTCCACCTTTTGATTCTTAATCCACAGGTCATCCCGGCAGGGAAGTGTCCGGTCGATCTCCTTGTCGTTCAGAGCGAAGTCGAAGGCAGTGGCGATTGTAGCGTACCGATCCAAGAGGTATATCATCCAGAATAATCGCCGCCTTGACTCTTCCTCGATGAAATCTTTCGGCTCTGGCAAAACCATTGCTCGCAAGGTATATATCGAAGCATAGCTTGGCGATACGGAAAGCGAGTTGCTCTCGACAGCCAGACCTAGCTGCACGACAGAGCGAGTAATCAAGGCCATGATGTTCCAGCCTGGAGGACCGTTGCTGCTACCGCACAAGTCGAGTGCCAGGATGACTAGGGCCTGCAACGCCTTGACCGACGAGTTTTCCATGCCGTAGAGGAGAACCCTCTCTTTCGAGACGTCGTGGTAGTGCCGCCTTTTGTCTTCTGTGAGTCGGGCATCTGTCGAGTACCTTAGAGTAGCGGCGACAATAGCATGTAACAGTACCTTATCGGTGTCGTCTAGTGTCGAGGGTCCGAATAGTGAATCTAAGGTAGATTTCCTATGTAGGATAGGGCACCAGGTATTAATATGTTTGAAGTATAAATCTACTAACGCGTACAGGAGATCGTATGGTGGAAGATCCTGATCTGACGATATCTGCGTCTGACCTTGTGCCACGCTCATGCCGGGAGATCGAACTGGCTGTTGTTGCGACTGTCCGTAATATTCCTGAGCCGTAGGACCCGGTTGAAGGCCAGGCCCTAGCTGATTAGAGGGGGAGATGCCAGACATAGGCATCTGTGATTGGAAACCATCATGCACAGAGTGAATTGACGGGGTCGGAGGAGGTAAGCCAAAGTCGACATGTTGTGACGTCGTAGGGAACGTGGAAGGCTTTTGCAAAAACAATGCAGTCTCAGCTTGGGGAGTCCTGATAGATTCACCAGGCCGGAACAGCGACGCTGGGTCACGCGGTGTGCCGTGATCGCTCGGTAGACTTGGGTTGCTGTTGCGCACGCTCTGGGCAATGTTGTGGTGAGCGTGGTTAATAAAGGATGCCTGCAAGATCTCGGAATGAGATCTCAGTATCTCCTCAAGTTTATCGAGCCTCTGCTCCAGCTCCCGGCCGTAGCCAGCTCTCAAGCCGGGCTTCTTGCGTTCGCGATATTCGCAAAAGACAGAATTTCGCCTGCACCAACCACATGACGGTTGTCCACGATCGCATTTTACCTTTAAAGGAGTAAGTACATATATATATATATATAGATTCGCTAAAGGGAAAATGCCGGGTAGTAAGTTTATATGAAGGTGAAGGTGAAGGTGAAGGTGGTTGAAACAAACCTTTCTTTGTTTGCAAGTTTCACAACTTCAATTTAGCATATAGATGTTAGCGTGCTTCGTTCGAGGTGAGACGATGAATAAGACGATATAAATGTATAAGACCAGTCGATATGCGGTAATGAGCTAATAGGGAAAAAGGGTTGGGGGGCGATGATCTGAATGCGGAGATGAGGAGATGAGGAGATGAGGGATATCAGATGGATCAAACATCGACAGGCCAAGACCAAGGCAATTGGAGAATAGGTAGAGAATAAAGAATAGATCATACTAAAGTCTGTCGGATAATAATATAAGAAACAGTAGCTTGAAATTCATTGGATAAGAAAAATACAACTCACGAGACGGAAATTGGTCTCTTGCGTTTCCCGTTACGCACAGCGCCGGTACTGTCGTGGTCGTCGTCTTGATCATTCTCGTCCCCGCTCTGCAGGGCGTTATTACCGTCGTCGCTGTCGGGTTCCTGTTTGCTGTGTAGCGACACGTGGTTCTGCTGCTGGGGTCCGGATACGGCTCCGTTCTGAGATTGAGCAGCTTGCATCATGTCTCGGTATCAATTACAAACTTTGGACCTCTGCGACTCGGGCTTTGTGGGCGACAGCATCGCGAGCCGGCTCTCGACTTCGGGGTAATGTTGAGTAGAGGAGAGACGTGTGTTAAGTGGAAGGGGGCTGGCCGAGCTAGTTGTGCCTCGGCTGGGGTCTCGAATTCTTTTTTTTTCTCTCCCTCTATTTTAGGCCATGGAGAATTGTGGATTATGGGGGGAGGGAAAATGAGGAAAAAATGATTTGAAAAAATAATAGTCACGCCAAGATAAAATTCTAGAGGCTCGCGGGTGCTAATTACGAAATATCAAAGTACTAAACCCTGAATGGACTTGTTCATGGGGTATCAAGCTCTTGTAGCTTTTGTAGTACCTGACTAGGTAGTCATGTAGACACGATATAATAGGCGGTCTGGTATTAACTGCGATAGAGCCATGGGAGAGACGAAGAGAGTGGGTGATAGATCGGTCGATGATGGGTAGGTATCCGAAGAAGACCGGAGGACGACTGTTTCTGAGAGTATTGATACAAAATACAAACTCATCAACTAAGAGGCTTTAAAGATTTAGACGGGCAGTTATAATTACCTTAGGTACTAGTATAATCAAGTAGTCGAGGATATAAATGCCCGTCTACAATACCTGTTTCGTATTACATTTTCCCTAATTTTCCTAGCTTCTTTGCCAACCTAGAGAGGATCTCTACCACCATTTGCGGGGGAAATCAGTGGATGGTACTGGCTGAGATGTCAAGCCCAGAAGCGTGGAGGGAAAAGTTGGGGAGACCAAGAAGGGAAGGGGTGTGAGGGAGTGGAGGAGGTTCAGATGCGGAGACCAATGATATATTCTCGGTCAGGGTATTCCGTATTTCTTGGCTATTTGCAGGGATGTTCCCTCCATCACACGTAGTCCCCCGAGGCCTGTCGTTTGTAAACTGCGACTCTATGAAATCTCGTAGAGAATCTCACATTTCCAATCATCTTTACTTCAAGCTCGAGTTGACATTTTACCTAATTCGAATTTCTTTTCTTTATACTTAAGCAAGTATAATTCATACTAAGCTTTATATATATATATATATGGCATGTGTTGAACGCGAACGCTCCTATCCAAGATCCAAGATCCAAGATCCAAGATACCTTCCTAACGCGCAAGTCCCGACCCAGCAGCCATTGCATGCAAGTCGACCATTACTACATTAGGCGGATAACCCTCCGTAGGATTCCGTTCCAATAGCGGAAGTATTTACCGGATTTTCAGCATATGTCCAACTGCCGGTATTTCATTTCATGCTTTCCTCACCCTCCTATTTCTAGTGTTTTTCTGTGCCCAGCATTCACTTGAGTAAGTACGAGTAAGGATGATATGGGTATGAGTATGAGTATGGGTATTCTGGTCGTTCGAATTCGTGCCTTTTCTTTTCTAGGCGCACGTAACCATGTTCTTTACGCCCTCGGTCAGACGCTAGTTTTTCTTCTCGGTAGGTTCCGCCTCCGCCTCCGCGTTCTGGTCGGGCAGCCCTGTTGCGGTCTGCAATATGCTCGCCGCCGGCGGACTTAATAGATAGTCCGACGGAATCAGCTTCGATCTAGCGGCGGGGTTCAAGGTAAGGCCAAAGCCAGGCTTATCGAGGTCGGCCGCAGTCAGGAAACCTTTGGTCGGAATAGGTTCGTCGAGGAAGAGATCGCCGAAGACCGGTAAAACACTCTTTCCGTCAGGGGAGTTGGCTAAATACTCTTGGAAGGGAGTATTAGGTTGGGAGATGACGAAGTGGTAGCTATAAGGTCCGCTCGCGTGAGGCACGACAGGAATATCGTAGGCGGCAGCCATAGCAGAGACCTTGAGAAGCTCTGTCATGCCGCCGAGCCACATTACGTCGGGTTGGATGATGTCGAGATTGCGCCCCTCGATCAGCTTACGGAATCCGTACCTCGAGTACTCGTGTTCTCCCGTTGTGAACTTGAGCGTAGGATGCGCCCTTTTGATCTGCTCGAAGCCGTCGGTATCGTCAGGGCTCAAGCACTCCTCCCACCAGTTGATGTTCAAGTCTTCACACTTCTTAGCGATCTCGATAGTGTACGACACGTTCAAGCTCATGTAGCAATCGACCATTATGGGGAAGTCTGGTCCCACACTCTCGCGATGCTTGCGGAGGAACTCTATGTTCTTCCTCAGACCCTCGTGGCCGTCGGCCGGGCAGAACGGAAGTGGAACCTTAGCTCCCCAGAAACCCATCGCCTTCGCAGCAGTCGGCTCTGGTCCCGTGCAGTAAAAGTCTATCCGCTCCCGCGCCGCGCCGCCGATGAGCCTATATACGGGCTCGTTCCTCAGCTTGCCGAGCAAGTCCCAAAGGGCGAGGTCGATAACAGAGATGATAGCTATCGGTAGTCCTTTGCGGCCGTAAAACATAGAGGCTCGGTACATCTGTTCGAACAGCAGGTTGGTATTTCTAGGGTCGGCACCGATCAGGAACCGCTCGAAGTGTTTGTGAACGATCCAGCAAGCTGGCGGGCCTACGTAGAAAGTATACATTAGTATATACATCTTACTATGTCCAATGGGTAATTGTAATAATCCACGCAACGAAATGGGAGTTTGTACCGCCAAAGCCCGTCGCGAAGCCTACCGTGCCATCGGTAGCCTCGATCTCGATAAGGAACGATCCGAGGACGTTAATACCCCAGCTTGTACGCGATTTCTTATACTTATCCCATATGGAACACGGCGTTGAGATATCCGTGTCGATTAGCCTACAGTAGTGCTGATATCAGTCTCGCCGTCTTAAGGTTCTCTCGTCAGAAATGTCAGCTCAGCTACTCACCAATGGCCACCCTTAACGTTGTGATAGTCACCACCTATATCAAGTTAGTTACCGTCTGACTGGTCATCCCCGCACATCCCCGTCTCAATATATAGGGTAGCTTGCATACCTGAGCCGACGCCGCCAATCACATACGACCTGATGGCTTTGATGGTGGGAAATTGTCTCACGGAAGCCATCGTGGGACTCTATCACCTTGGGACAAGTCGTTTCGTAGGTTTACTTCCCGCTAACTGCCAACTATACCACCAATATGTGGTTTGTTACGGGAGCGTCTTAATATAAAGACGGAGAGGGGGAGAGAGGCAAGGGAGAAGGGAGGAAAAAGTAGAGTAGCAGCGTCAGAGAAGCACATCCGCAATGCGTCGCGGCCGGAATATTAAATACGTCTAGAGCAAATTATAGTAGCGTCAAGCTCGGCTTCCCGAACAGCGACGTGCCCTGGGTTTTTGTAGGCGATACCCCAAAGACCGAGCAGGTCCGTAGGCAGCGGGGTGGCCGGGATAGCCTTGGAAGCGTTCTAGCTCGTTGCCAATCGTCCCCGTTCGTCCCCATTCGTTCCAGTTGTTGGTTTTCTACATGGGATGGTATATGGGTCTAGCTCGCACTTACACATGCATTACGTTTCATGAGAAGACTTGTCGTCCTAGTCTATATGTAGATCGGTCTCCAATCGCCCGACAATGACAATAACGTAGCTCATCTCGAGCTCCTATCGAATAGACATCGTATCAGCACAAGTCACGAGGACGATAATATGCTGCAAGCCCATACAACCTACATATATAGACGCATAACAGGTTGCGTTATAGGTTAGCATTCCATATAAGTGAAGCGTCTGGGATATGACGTGGTATCCCCCCGCGATGGATTCATATATTTCCACTAATGCTACAGTGAGGGCGAGCTGGAATGAAACACGAAACACACGAGCTGCGATGTATTACGGGAGCTTACAGGTAATATTAGAAAGAAACGACTGCGCTGCTAACATCAAACGTCATAATTAAAACTTTCACGTGTAGGATGAGAACCAAGGAGACCTGCACTTTCGATACATATTTCTTGGTTAATAGGTACCGAGGCGGGCCACCTGCGTCTTTTTGTCTTTTTCGGTCTAAGGCCCAGATGAAATCTCGCTACGCATTACACCGAGATCGTGGGGTCAAGTGCTGATCGCACGCGGCCGGGGTCTATAGCTCGAGACGCCATAAGCTTGAACTAACCAGGTTACTATAGTAGTAAGTTGGAGATGTGTGAGTATGGTTATTCGTGCGTAGCTTGAGTATTTACATGTTATCGAGAAAATAAATTTAGTTCAAGTAAATATTCACTTATACTTCACTTATACTTTACTTACAGTATAACTACAACAACGACTAAATTATATCATTGAATCTTCACACGCCAAGGCTAGCTACATGTATTTACCCCTTTACAAAGTACCCCGCCATACTTGGAACCCCAAAAGCTCCCCTCATCTGCAGCATATTTCGAATGCTTCCGAGAAAGAAAAGCATATCACAGCTCGAAACTTGACCGAGCGAGCTTCTTCACCTTCCAATTTGTCCTACCCACACATTCCCTACTTGGAATAAAACATACACAAACCACGTACAACAATATGCCGGCGACAAACCTGCTGCGGGGCAAAACCGCCATCATAACGGGGGGCACCACGGGTATTGGCCGAGCCATTGCCCTCGAATATCTGCGTCAGGGGTCCAACGTAGTAGTGAACCACCTCGGTCTCGAGCGCGACCAGCCTCATCTTGAATCGCTACTCGCCGAAGCCGAATCTCTTAAGACCTCCAACACCGACTCCAACACAACAATAGGCTCTCTCGACCATCTCGCCGGCGACGTCTCGGACCCAGCCACAGGACCCGCGCTCGTAGCTCACGCCGTCTCGCGCTTCGGCCGCTTAGACATATGCGTGAGCAATGCGGGAATCTGCCAATTCGCAGAGTTCCTGACTTTAACCGGGGACCTGTGGTCGCGGACGGTGCGCACGAATCTCGACGGGGCGTTTTACGTCGTGCAAGCTGCGGCGCGGCAGATGGCTTCTCAAGAGCCGTTACCATCGTCCTCTTCTTCGTGGAGAAAACCGCAACGCGGGTCCATCATCGGATTAAGTTCCATCTCGGCGTTAGTAGGCGGCGGGCAGCAGACGCACTACACGCCGACGAAAGCCGGGGTACTGTCGCTGATGCAGAGCTGCGCGGTGGCGTTAGGTTCGCACGGTATCCGGTGCAATGCGCTGCTTCCGGGCACGATTCGGACGCAACTCAACGACGAGGATCTGGCTGATGATGCGAAGCGGGCTTATATGGAGGGTCGTATTCCGCTGGGACGCACCGGCGACCCCCGCGATATGGCGGGACCGGCCGTCTTCCTCGCCTCCGACGAGCTGAGTGGTTATGTGACCGGTTCGCAGCTACTGGTTGACGGCGGTTTATTTGTTCATTTACAGTGACGAAATACCGGTTGGCAACTCTGATGATGGCGAAATCCCACCTACTGATGGGTCGGAATCGATATGCACATCCATCTATCCACCATCATCGGGAATCCGGGCCCCTATTCCCATTCTCGCCCTCCATCTTAAACCCAATGACACCGTGCGTATTCGCCTTGCCAACACGCATCCAACCATTAACAGTATCCAGGCTGGCAGTTAGGCAAACACGTACCTGTTCCAAGCACGTACATATTTACATAAGGGCGCATGTGCGAAGATGCCGAGAAGAATGGGTGGATAGCAAGGCGGTTTATGTGGAAACGTCGCAGATCGCGGTGGCAAATGTGACATTCGAATAATATTATCGAAATGTGGGCTGATCCGGGGGTTCAAGTTGATTAACCGTTGATTTGAGGCTCAAAAAGTAGGGTCGAGAGACGATATATTAAAGGTCTGCGTGGTTATGATTGGTGCTAGAATATAGTAGTTATGTGTCACCGTTCATCGACACGATGCTTACCAGCTTATTAGCAAAGCAATAGTAAGAGCTGAGATATCCCAGAGGTTCATCAATGCAACATCAGAAGCGTTCTTCGCTCCAAAGCTGAGAATTTTTGCCGGGTTAAGATGCCGAAGTAGTAGATGTAACGTGGAAACCGCCTTACCATACAGTCACATCGCACAGTTGGGCCACAAAATGGCAGTGAAATTATAAAATATGCTTCATTAAGAGAACCTGATATTTCAGTTTTATATCAATAACGCCACCTAATGCACATTATATCCAACAGTATTCAGATAGACACAAGCTCCGTCTGACCCCAATAATGATATCCCTAGTGATACCCGAACGAATGCCCCTTTCTACAGCATGATTCCATGCGCGAAGAGTATATGGTGATAAATAGAATAGTAGAACAGAAAGACAAGAGTAAATGTAATGAACAATGGTATCGTGAAAATGTTGCCTCTAAAAAGTAAACCCGGGTTCGTGATATTCGTAACATCATGCAGTAAGCTCAAGGTGGCGCTCCTCAGCAGGGCTGAATACGGCGCAGTCTTGAGCTTCTTCCAAGCTCAGCTTGGGCATATCGGAAAGACGGGGCTTCCGCGTCTGGTTCTTCTTCCTGCGCTCTATCTCGCGCTCGATTCCGTGGTTCACAGCATCTAGAACTGTATTCACGGTGACGCGAGGCTTGTAGGCCGGTTCGGTGCCATCCTGATAGACACCAGTCTTGACCAGGATACTGTACCAGTCGTTCTCGGCCTTCTCGTTGTATTGGTTGGTTCCTCGGATATCGCTCTCGGGAGTATCGCCGACAAAGTAGACAGTCTCCGGGGGCTTGTTTAGACCATGCTCGTTCATGCGCCATCGCTTCAGCAGGCGTGTGGCGAACTCGAACGTTCCGATCTGAGGCTTGCCGAAGGCGTGAGTCTCCAATGTCTTACCCTTGGTGACCTCCTTGAACGTGTATTCGACGATACCCCGTAAGGCGCCCATGCCGAGGCGGACGTTGTCGTGTGCGGCAGACCAGACCACGTCGTTGTGAGAGAAGTAGATCGGCGGGCCCTCGTCAAAGGTCTCGGATAGAGTTCCGATGCGACCACCCTTGGACATGGCCAGGTCTAAGATGATCTGCAGGTCTCCCGCCCAATCACGCGAATCGGCAAAGACGAAGATGGCTTCGATAGTAACTTTGTTAAAGTCACGCTCCTTCGAGTTTCGATGCTCCTCAGGTGTCAGTTTGCGGAACGGCGTCGTAGCAGCATCGGCCTTGATGATGTCGCCGGGGGTGACGACATCCTTAAAGCCGTAGCCTTGAGCGACGGTACGGCACTTCTCGCCTTCGCCGCCTACAACCAGGACCGTGTTGTACTTGTTGGCCATCTCGGACATGGGCGTGTGCCCACAGATAAACTGAGCCGGGGAGATCTCGATGTCCAGCTGGCTGGAGAGATCGCCGCAACGCTCCGCCTCGGTTTTACCGCCGCCGTTGGTCAAAAAGATATACGGACTGCATTAGTTAGTATGGATCGCTCGACTTTTATATTGATGTTTCTGGTTTAGGGCTAAGACGGTACTTACATCTTGATTCCATATTTGTTATTGCCGTTCAGAACTTTCATGGCCTGGACGGCTTCGGGGATGGGACGGCCACCTCGGACTAGGACGCCGTCGATGTCGAAGGCGAAGGCGAAGCTGTCGGCAACGAGCTCTTGGTCGATGGGAGGAGAGATAGGAGAGATAGCCGCGTCCGATTCCGGGGCTGAAGACGTGGCGCTAGCGGCCGGGCTCAGCGACGGGGCCGTCTCCGAGTCGGACGGGCTGGCAGCCGGAGAACCGACGAGCAGCTTGCGGGCAAGATCGGTTCGGGCTGTCTCGATCTCGTCGACAAAGCTGCCGCGGTGGAAGGTAGGCTGTTGCGGTTCCAAAGACATGGTAAAAAAAGAGAAAATGTAATGATCGAACTCTACACGCGATATAAAAGCAAATAGGTAACTGTGGGCTTAAAAAGGACCAGCCAAGGCGGTTGTTGTTGTTATTGTTCTGTTGAATGTCTTGCAGATTTTACTCCTTAAGACGAAGGATACTCGAGGTCCTGTTGAGTAGCCGATGCGTTGACTAAGGAGGAAAAATCAAGTCCATTTTCGAGAAGCTGGGTAAGGGGATATATATATTTACCTACATAAACGACCCGGCATCGAGAAGGGTGGTTCTATCTGGTACATCTAGAGGTAAGAGTAAATACATACCGTCATTTGATAACATCGACAAAGCAGCAGGAACGTATACACTACCGTCAACGACTACTGGACATGTACAATGATGTGTGATATGTGGCTACGTACTAGTTTAGATGTACTATGATAAAAGTGTGGATGGGGGGTGTTTGCTGTATGGATCCGGCCTTATACTAACCGGCCAGGGGTGCTATACAGAGTATAGTACTTGTATACTACTGACTTATACACGGTAACGGGTGTGTACAAGCTAGAAGGCGAACGGCTCGGTTATCGCATCGCCAGGTACGTATATACTCACTCAGCATTGATGTATACACGGTGAGATTTGAGTCGCCGAGCGCGGAAAGCCAATGAAAAATGATGTACTTGGGTCCTTTAGCATCTGAACGACAAATCTAACCTATTAGATTTGAGGTATTGTCTCACTACTTGCCAATATCAGCCTTGTGTGTGTCTAGCGTTACCGATCTGTAACATTAAGGTCTACTCTGCGTCTCGGTGACTGTACATGTGCCCGTAACTTTTCAAGGGTTCTTCACAGGGACTACATACGTACCTATGTAGGGAGGCGAAGTACGAGTATACTTGGCTTTCTTGTATAGTGTACTGTGCGTACTTACGTTCGCAAGCGTATGGTAGAAGAGGAATTCGCGAATGAGATGAGAGAACCGGTTACTACCTTTACAAGGATCGAAAATCAGGGTCTTTCTCCTCTCCTTTGTTCTTCGCTTGGACTGCCGAACCTGGCAAGGCCGGGCCCCGTCACGGCTTGGAAGCATCGAGCAACCCGACAAGTCTTCGTGGTGTGCAGAACCAACGACGTTAGCCTTGCCAGGTATGGATGACGCTGTTTCCAAAAAGAGATATGATCTATGACGTTAGCTAGTTAGACGCCGCGCTTAGCAGTGCTATCTATCCGGCTTCCTGCGCCGGAGGCTAGCTCGCATACTTTACGAAGATGTAATCATGCTTTTGGCGATGCTTGGAATCAATAAACGATTGTACCATCTAGGATGTTACTTTGTAATATTCTCCGACCTCGAGAACCCGTCAGCCCGCCTCGCGGGCTGTCATCAGGATAATTACTAGCGATGCATGTATGTAGCCCCAAATAGCACCAGGCTAGATATATTGGGTTACATAAGGCCAAACTAGAACCCTACGACTCCTGTAGGGATAGCCCGAGTAGGCAGGCGAGCGACCAACTCGGTTTAGAGCTTGAGGCACGTGTAAGCCGACTCTTCACTTCTTTACTCGAAGTTGATGGGACATGACGGCTGCGGTGCTATTACTCGGGCCGTAATATAGACCTTCCAGGCCTGAAGCGAAAGCAAGCGAGCGCCTAGCATCCCTTTCTTCTACGTTGGGTAGGTCGACACTCCCATGGATATGGCTGAAATCTATAACGACGTATCACTCCGTCAGAAGTCGCCGTTTTGCGTTGCTTTCTTCCGTTACATAACCCGGGGGGAGGCCTTACCCAAGAGACGCACGATGCAAGGATCTCTGATAGATCGGACCGAGAAGCCAGGCTTCTGGATGCTTGAATGTTGCAATGGTTCTCTAGGCCATCTTATCATCTTCTGCATCTGAAAGCGCGTCTACGAGTAGGTATCTCTCCACTGAATTATATAAATCTGGTACGACATGGCGGTTAAAGAAGGATATAGATGTCCACAGTAATTATAGACACTGTCGATGTATGATTTTCCAGGTGCAACGTATAAGATGAATTGATTGGATTGTGATGGATTGTAATAAAGACGTGAAGGTGTTATCGAGCGATTAGAGAAAAGAGTAGAAGTCGGACAGCCGCAGAAACACTGACGTCAAGTGCAGCTGTATAAGTGGACACTTTAGTGGGGACTCTTAAATCTTTTTAATGCAATGTTTGGGATTATTCTTATGCCTGTTCGGCGGTTTTAACCCCTGATCCCTCTCGGCAGCATTAGCCACCCTTTGGCCGAACACACCCCTCCGCCCCTCCCCCTTTTTTTCTATTTACCCCTCAATCAAAGGACGTTATACACCCCAAAGTGCCCCCCATTCTGCCATTCCAAGACTTCAGATTCCCCTGGAGATCCATTGGCACAACCCATCAGCCATCCATCAGCCACTCCATTCGATATAGCTCGATATAGTCGATATACGTACACGGCTCCCCTGGAGCTACGGATGTCCACATAAGGTAAGCGACGAGTCAATCAGCCTGTGAACGGTGTTACGACGGCGGTTATAACGGAAGGGAACATCTCACATTTCCGACTATGTTAACAAATCATCCATGCCTAGACCATGTAGACCGGCCTAAATTCGACGGTAGCATGTTCATGTTCATATGCTATGTTTACAGGCATCTCCCTCATAGATTAGGTGTCTAAGTATGCAAGGGCCCATTCGTGAGGGAATACATCCATACGCCTGACGTGCTTTCGTAGTGAATCGAGTAAGCTACGTGTGTTTACTTCCAGACAAGCTTTTTGAGAAATAGTACGAGAGAACTAGATGATGATATACAGGGGAAGATTCCCGTCATCCTCTATCTTGTGTTAGTATCTTGACTCTTATCAAATAGTCAACTATCAAATATAGAAGCATCTGGTTAGGACTTGTACTGTCAAGACTATGTAGATAGTAAAAATGTGACTAGAAGTAAACGGCTCTGAATAGACAAGTTGATCATCATAGCAATATCCACCGATGCTCGTGTCGATATCCATATTCTACTCCTCCCCCGGACCCGTATTCTAGTGTAGCCCCGACTTCCCCATGTCTCCGGTTCAGGTAGCAGCCGTCGGGCTCGGTTTAAACACTTGATAGGCCCTACCGACATTCTCACTTACAATCCGAATCCACTCTCAGCTACAATAGTGTAGATCTTTGGGGAAGGAAATCCACAACGATCGAGGATCGGTTTAGTATTATTATCCAAAACAGGGACTCCACGGAGAAAAGAAAGGCATATGGTTGTACAATGTCATTAGTGCAGCATTCTAACGTTAGAGGTTGAAGATAGTCGACTTGTGCGGATTACTACAAGCAGCTAAGATCTGACCGCTCGAGTCTAAAATTCTACTAAAATTCTACTAAAATTCTCTGACCTGTCTGTTTCTTGATACCTGTAGGGTTTGTTACTCGTCAAAGCTATCAACCAGCAGTGTTACAGCGTAGTCATCTATCATATCTTTGTCAGAATCATGCGACTAGAGATCCACGTAATACCCACAATAGAAATCGGTTGGCTCGAATGGAACGAAAGGTTACGAGTAAGGAAGCCTATCATTATTTAACGACTCGAGCCCAGTAGTCTGGATTGCCCTACTAGGCGACATGTTGCATCCACCCATGTTTATATTGACAGCTAAGTAATATTATCTCACCGTCACATGAGGAGTTTAACATCGTGCTTTAGACATGTGTAAGACTAGAGTCAAAAAGAATTCGGACCTACACTTGAATCGTACTGAAGACGGCGACTAGAAAAAATATCAAAACCCTAATCTCTGTTAGATCTGGCCATCTATCCTATTTCAGTTGGACTTGTCCAAGCCGTAAAATGCCACCGTATCATGCACGGTGACGTCCCGCAGGAAGATGGTATCTGCAGACGCGGAATTCGTGCGGCAGGGCATATCCTAGACGTAAGGAACCCGTAGAGCTCCCATCACCGTCATTAACCTATCATATGAAGCATGTTGCTATGCAGAATACTTTATTCTAATTGCTAGTCTAAGTGATTGAAGCTAGGTCGTATTATCATGTGGCATGTGTTATGTGTTATGCGGTTTGTAGATGGTGCGGGGCCGGGGGCTGAGATCCCTCCCCGTTGAGAATCTCCCCTTTGCGATGCTCTATCAAATATCCAATGGTTAGTTAGTCATTTCGTATGTAGGCTGTGATGTGTGTAGTGGGTGTAGGACTTGTTTACGGTCAGGAAACTACCTAGAAGGTAATCATATTCTTTAACTAATGCATGTGAAAGCCACCTCCCTTGAAGCCAAGAAAAGCCAGTTACTAATTTCCCTTCTTGTAGCTGCTTGATGACGACTGTGTCACTATGACCGTGCCACAGAGTACATGTAGCATGGAAAGACAGTCAAAGAGCGGAGTACGGCGCATTTACAATATGTCTACTTCTCTCCAAACTCTTTCACTTTTCTATTGTTCTGATGATGAATGCAAACATCCATACCGTCCATACCTGCATACGTAGTATCCATAGGCCCGACACCCTTGTCTGTTGACTCCTATGTAGTCATCTCATCATCCAATAGCAGGGGGGGTTAACTTGTAGTGTACGAAGTACAGGGCTTTTAAAAATGATCTCCTTAGTGACCTTCTATATAGAAATTACAAGCAACCAATAAGAATCGACAATAGTATAGAGATATGGTGTTAGTGTATACAAAAATACTGCGTTCTACATGTAGCAAGCCGATCGTTACCTGCTGGAATGCCACATGGTCGGACGATAAGGCATAAGATCTACGCCACCCCCTCCTAGACCCCAAGTTGTCGATCCTATCTTGATTTTCTTTCTAGTTGGATAGATGAGAAGCCATTCGAAGTAACATTCCGCTCTCATTACATAAAACCCTTTTTCCGCAGAGCCGCCGCCGCCACCAACACGCCCTGACAGCTTAAGCACGGACGAGTCTATCTGCCAGTAAACACGATGGCGATCTACCCTGGTCTACCCGCTCGAACGTCTCTTTTTCTATTGCATGGATGTATGGATGCATGCACATATTTCTGAGTCATCATATATCAATACAGGGTTCTAAGTCGACGACTTATCTTCACCAACCCTGCTCGCCTGCTCGCCTGCTTGCACGTGTGAGAATGGCCAAACGGATTCATCGATACGTGTCGGAACCAACGGCTAGCTGGTACGGTATAAGCCGTGAGGGCGTAACAACGACTGCGACGACAATAACCATTCTGTGATATGAGACGGTAACATTAAACCAGGCAGTTAAATGCGAAATGGTTCAATTAACCAGATATTGCGTTGGTGGTAAGATGCTTACCGGTAGAATCAGTAAAAAGCGGCGGTAATGGGGGAATACGGTAGTTCTAGAAACCACAAGGCTATAAGACCATAAGGCCTCATAGGGGTCTATTCTTAGTTGGACATTCTATCTAAAAGACCGTGGAGCTGCTTATTCCATAGCCCATCTAAGCAACCCGGATACTTGAATCTGTCATTTTAGTTTGGGGTATTCATTCTAGACTACCTCTTTGCTTTTGTATATTCATCGTGGTACTATATTGGGCAGAGTAGACCGGTATGGTTAACCACGCAGGTGGCTAAGAGTAAAGAGTAACATATGAGAATAGCATATATCTCGGTGCCTGAGATATCACGACATGTCGACTCCTTTGCCAAAGCATCTTACCCATGTCTAAACGGATTACTGCTCAGATTAAGAACCGAAAATCAGGCCATTGCGTTTCTAGAATGTAGCATTCGTTTCCGTATAGATTTTACCTCTAATACCCTTAGGAAGTATCTTTCTACATTAGGTACTTACCTACCTAGTTATGTAGATGTATTCATCGGTCGATTCCTTACCTCGCTATCTGTAGGTAAGGGTCACAGCATCGACGCCTTGCATCCCCGGACTGTCTTACCAAATCAACACTGCATGGCCCTTCTCTACCACAAGTAATCTATCATCAACCACACCCCATAACCAAAATTTGACCCGCCGTCGAATCGAATCAAGCCTTAGATTAGTATAATAGTAACCGGCGACTATGATGACCTCATCTTGCTCCTCGTCTTATCACAAGCAAATTCGAAAACCACCCCCCTTTTTTTTAATTCGTTCGTATTTACGAGCATATCCCTAAGGTAGATAAACTCACAAAAAGCCAGCAGGAAAAAAAAACCATCTATCCCGTCTACCGACTTTTCGCCCGACATGCCGAGTGGTGAATAGATGCACTGCCGAACGTAAGGGAGACAAGATCTGCAATGTTGAACTGCTGTTGTTGAAACCAAATGATGCAAATGAAGCCATCACCATAACCCGAAGGGGTCCCTCCCCCTCTATTTATTTTGTATACGGAAGCCATCCGAAAACTCCCCAATGCTACCCAGCTTGCATTCGTGCCATCCCATACGTACACTAGCCGCCCATGTCGCCCCCGTGTTGCTTGCTGCAGCGCAAGGGGGAAACGGCACAAGGTACTGCGCCTTTGCCTAAATATATCCTTCACACTAAAGGGGTGTGTCGCCTCGTCACGGCTGCACCGTCGAGGATGCATCTCGACGTCATTGCCTCTCCTCCCACGGAAGAGAATATGTTCCTACCCAGTCGGAGACCTCTGCGCGCAGCTGCACAATTTCGGAGTCTTCTTCGCCGGTGCCAAGGTAGTCAAAGAAGAACTTAAGCTTGTATTTCTCGCCCTTCTCCTCAGCCGCGGTACGTGCCGCCTTGTCTACCCTAGAGGCAATGGCTACGGAGCGGTCGATAATGTCGGCCACTCTGACAAAGTCGCTCTCAACGAAGCCGCGCGTCGTCATCGCCGGCGTACCTATCCGCAAACCGCCGGGTATCATCGCCGACTTGTCGCCGGGGACCGTGTTCTTGTTGCTGGCCACGCCGACCAGCTCTAGCACTCGCTCGACGCGGGCACCGTCGACGCCCTGTGGCTTCAGGTCCACAAGTACGAGGTGGTTATCCGTGCCGCCGCTTACAAGCTTGTATCCGAGACCGCCGTTGGATTTAGATTCGCCTAGGCGATTCGCGAGAGCCTGCGAATTCACTAGGACCTGTTCCTGGTAGGCTCGGAACTCGGGTGTCTGCGCCTGTTTCAACGCAACGGATAACGCCGTGATGGTGTGGTTATGAGGGCCGCCTTGGTGACCAGGAAATACCGAAGCATTTATAGGATTCTCCAGGTTGTACTTTATCTCTTCCTTTGTCTTGGGGTTAACCTTTCTCACGCCTTTTCTGAAGAAGATCATGGCACCTCGGGGACCGCGTAAGCTCTTGTGACTCGTAGTCGTTACGATATCTGCGAAGCTAAAGGGACTGGGTATAACCTTGGCTGCAATCATACCCGAGATGTGGGCGATGTCGGCTAGTAAGTATGCATTTATCTTATCGCACGTCTCCTTAATAGCCTTGTAGTCGATAAACCTGCCGTATGCGCTGGCTCCGGCAACAATAATCTTAGGTCGGTAAATCTGAGCTAGCTCGTCGAGCTTCTCGTAGTCGATCAAGCCGGTCTCTTCGTTCAACCGGTAAGGGACCGTCTCGAAGTACTTGGACACGGCTGAGATCTTCTTGGTAGGTGTTTGATAACCGTGAGAGAGGTGACCTCCGTGAGGAAGATCCAATCCCATAAGCCGGTCGTGAGTGTCCATCAAAGCCGAGTAAACGTATAGATTTGCGGGTGCGCCAGAGAGTGCTATTCATCGGGGCGAATTACTACAGGTTAGCCCTGGTGACGCTTTGGCTATGCGACTAGTTGAGGCAGACTTACGCTGGACATTGACACCCCATTCCTTTTCATCCAAGCCAAACGTCTCCAAAGCTCTTTGTTGGCATAGTCTTTCGGACTGGTCGATGAACTCGTTGCCTGCATAATATCTTGCTCCAGGATATCCCTCCGAGTACTTGTCTATGGTTTTAGGTTAGCTCGGATTTATTGGATTATCGTCGCGATGCTTCGTACTTTGCATTACACTTCCTAGCGCTTCGAGAACAGCTTGCGAAGTGAAATTTTCGGAGGGGATTAGGTTGATGAAGTGCTTTTGCCTATCTTTTTCCTGTTGACATAATTTATTCCTTAGTATTTAATATATAATATATAATATATAATATACATATAATGACAGGATAGGGGATAGTCTACCTTCTCGATGATATCGAATACGGCCGGGTCAGCCTCTTGAAGATGGGCCGATAGTAACTGTGTAAATGAATTAGTATCGCCTACTAATACAAGCGGTTGACGATAAAACAATCAATTCGTAACCGCTCAGAGGCTATTGCATACTCGTTGCTGGACGTCTAATGTAGCAGAAGATTGAGCTCTTCTCGTCGCATACTGAAGCGTAATTGGAGTCGACCATCTCGACAATGAACGAAAAGCACTCGAAGTGCCTCGAACCCGGAGGGCAGGTAGAGACATGGTCAATTAGTCGTTAATTAGTCGTCAATTGACTTATGTCGATGTGAATTGGAATGACCTGCACTTTAAAATATTACGAAAAGAGTTTCTATGCCGTCATAATGGGAATAAAGAAAAGAATAGGAATAGGAATTGGTTACGTTCTTTTACTAAATTCTAGCTGATAGGAAATAATCATCCTATCGTGAGCTCGCCATTCAGAAGCTTCAGTCTACATGTATCCATTGTACTTAAAGGCTAACCGAATGCTAGACCGCTAACCGGCAAACCGATACCAGATAACGAACATTATCTACTCCGAGGGGCGGGGTTTTTGTATTTGATATCAATCCTTGACCGCGTATAGTTAGCGCGGGGAACTCCGATTCTTATGTATGTAAGTCTCCTTGATCTTAAAATAGTATAGTCCTACACGTGATCACGAAGCTTTGGTTATGAATTTCGATCCTCCAACTTTTTTTTCCTCCTTTTTTCCCTTTCTTCTGTATCAACTAAATTGGGCGTGACGAGCTCCGCTTCAATAACAGATTCGGATTTCCGCTGTTTGTTCTTACGAATATCCAGCGGGAGCATGCTGATATGTCTCGGGCGGCACCTCACCACCTTTAACGGGACAATTTGAAGATATCTGATCCAATATAGTTGATCTTGTCTACTTCGCTATCCGCTTTTTTCCGTTTTTTGTCAGATAGCTCCTTGTCGTTTTCTTAGCCTTCTAGTTTAAGCGTCTAGATAGTTAGTAAATAAAATCCTTGGCTTTTACTATTAGTACCTAGTAAATGACCTAGCCATCTCAGCAGCCTACACGTTTGCAGTATACCGTTTATACATAAGACATATGTACTCTATTGACCGCTACCATGAGACTGACATACCCATGCGGGTTGCGTATTACGAAACTCGGATGTCGGATGGCTGCAGATTGATTAGGGCTGAATTTTAGTACTTGCTTATAGTTCTAGCTGCCATTTAATTAAGAGGGCTTAATACATCAAAGGCAATCAGCAGAGACTGGAAGACTCGAGCAAGAGAACTGAGGACCTAAGATACTCTTCGGGGTACAAGTCACATCACGATGGGAAGTTATACTAGAATAGAAATAAGGCGTCAAGTTCATTGATTCCGTTTTCATTGCCATACATGCAAAAGCCCGGCGGTGGAAGCATTACGACCGAAGGGCGCAAGGAAATAGAGACCCAACCATTTACTCCGAATGCAGCCGTCTCAGATTCTTGTAGTCCATATGACGATACCTCTAGCTCTCCTATGTAGCTGGATCGTTTGCATATGGAAACACATCCCCTGGTTTTCCGCTTACGCCTCCTCCTCACCCGCCAGCGCGGTTCGCTTCGCCGCCTGTCTCTGCAACTTACGCTCACGAGCAGCCTTGTTCTTCTGTCTCTTGGCGTCCATCTCATCCTGGAGCGCACGCTCACGAGCCTTCTCGGCCTTGGCACGGTGGATCTGCATACAAGTTAGACGCGAATGCAGAAAAAAGAATTCACGAGGGAAAACGTACGTGTTCAACTAGCGCTCGCTTGTGCTTGAAGGCGTTACCCTTGCTGGAGTGGTACAGTTCGTGGTAGAGGTGCTTGTCGATCTTGCCGCTGGCACGGTACTTGACTAGAAGACGTCGGAGGACTCGTAGGCGTCGCATCCATAGAACTTGTCTATCGCACAGTTAGCCGATATTCCGTTGCTATCCGATCATCCGTTTATCCCTTGTCTAGCGGATGGGAAAGTTATGGTTAAACGTACTGAGGCATACGAGCATCGGCGGTACCCTTTCGCTTACCGAAACCTCGGTGTCGGCCATCTCGTCGGGCGAGGTTCAGCTCACGGGCGCGAGATCGGGAGTGCATGGTGACGGGCTTGCGGATGATGAGGCCATCGCTGACGAGTTTTCGGATGGTCTGACGGGAGTTGGCGTTGGAGATCTCGTTAACCTCGTTGGGGTCGAGCCAGATCTTGCGCTTACCGCATCCGATGACGGACGCCGCAAGGCGCTTCTGAGTGCGAAGATTGACCCTGCAAAGTAGAATTAATTAGCTTGATGTTTGTTGACGGTTGCGTGATGATGCGTTCGTAGGTGATAGGTGGTGTATAGTGTGTATGGCCATAATCGATGACGCTGTCCCCGAGAGAGCCGCGCAAACTCGACCAACAAACGGAATCGAATGGGATGTCGAAAATAGAAGAAAAAACTCTTCGAAAAGGGCCCTTCATCAATGCGGAATGTTTGGTAAATCGATTTGACTTACATCTTGAATGCAGACGTCGGCGACGGTCGAAAATTTGCTGTTCGGTTAGTAAGGTGTGGAAGGGTTGAAGTTGAATTGAGAGCCCCCTCTCGGATCTTTGCACAATCGAGAATTTCTGAATCAGAATAGGCTCTAAGGAAATTTTGTGGACTGTTAGGACCCAATTTGGTGTAAGCGAGGAGGGCAACAAGATCACCTGACCTTATCAGTTATCTTTAATGGTTTGTGCACATAGCTTTTCGCACAGTATCGTACTAACCATTATTACAGACGGTGTTATTGAATTTGTGAGGGTTGCTTAAAACGTCAGGCTTACCTAATGTACCTCAGTACCACTTATCTAGGTTACTCCCTTTACATAAACTTACACTCATACTGAAAGTCCTCCAAGTCTCTATAGATTTATCTAGTTATAAGTCTAAATACGCAACATCTTGACTATTTGGAATTTTATAGATCGTACATCACTTTGAATCCTTAACCGACTTACAACATACGTGAAGATGCGAGGTTGATCAATGGTGCTTAAATATCTTGGAATTTTCTCTACCCTATGTGAACTGACCTTCCATGATGCTTCCCATATCGCCTCCTATGTTCATGATTACTCTCTGCGCTGTCCTTCACATCAACCATACATACGTTGGAGTTAATCTTGTGAGAAGACACCACCTCCAATCTCCACGGCACCAACGCTCCATATCTCCTTTTCGTCTTCTACTTCGTCGTTGCTCAACCCTAATCCTCCTTGGCCACCCTCTGCCTCTCTCCTTTCTCGAGCCTGGCTACCAAGCCTGACAGCCACCCTCTTGAAATAATCTTGCATGCTTCGCTTGGTGTTTGCTGGCAGATCTGCGCCGGCGCCGCTAATGTACTTTTCAAAGATCTTGCCTTCTTCATCCACGACGCTAAATAGTTCGATAAATGCCGCCTCGGCTGCTAGCTTAACGGGGATCACCGGATCCCGCACTGACGCGAACACTGGTGGCGCTAGTAGCGGGAGATGGGGGCGGACTATATCTAAGTTGGCTCGCGAAACGGTGCGTACTATTACCAACGCGAGACGACGGGAGTCGGACGGGTTTCCGGGGCCGATGATAGTGGCTAGTGTCGAGAAGATCGGTTTTGTCGATTCGAAAGACTTTGGCGAGTCTGTCAGCAAGTATTTGCCCGTTGCTAGAATGCTGTTATCTGCTATGAATAGCTGTATATTACAAGTTAGCGAGGTTCAGATAGACTTCGTCAGCGGGGTTAACTCACGTTCTTGTTTGACATTCCCTGGCAGAGCAGATCGGGCAGGTCCTCTGCTAGCGGACTCTCTAACAATGCCTGCGGCGACTCTACGAAGACTGCGTTGAGCGCGAGAACCGACGCGCTGGTAAAGTGGCCTGTAGTCACACGGTTCTTTAACAACCCGTGCGCGATCTCGGGAGGCACATTCTTAATGAGCGCGCCGAGTAGCTTAGCATTGGTCACTATCATCGCCGAGTCGGTCGTGTCTGTGTCCATATCGATCAATCCTAGCACCGCCGTCCGTGAGCTCTCGCCCATGTTAGAACCTGCTTTGCTGACAACTTCGTATAAAGCCTTTAGCATAGCAGTCCTGACGCCTGGATCCGATGTCTTGGAACCGGTGACGAGCTCCGCGATCAACGGATCCACCCGCGGTGTAAACTTGATTAGAGTGCCCAGCGCTTTAGCAGCCCGTGACCGTAGCAATTCGCTGCCGGTATCCGCGAGCGCTCTTGCGAACGTCCGCTGGAGCTGGGGCAGGAAGGGCTTGAGCGCCGTCGGCATCTTCTCGAGTAGGTTGTTGAGCGTTAAAAGAATGGCCGCTCTAACATCGGTGGACCGTTCCGACACCACACGGATGAGAGGACCCGTTATCTGCGTGACAAACGGCTTAAGAGAAGCTTCGCTTGTCCTATCGACAATATCGGATATAGCGAGGGCGGCGCTAGTTCTCTGTTCTGCAGTTCCGTTCATAAGACCTTGGAGGAAGATGGGCAGGATAGCGTTGATGCCCTTTGGAAGCTCGAAGCCTGGTAGGTTAGAGCCGGCGACACCAACTTGCAATAATGTTTGCCTTGTCGATATCACAAGGGCCTCCATATCTTCTTTCTTAAGTTTCTTAGTGAACTCGCTGAGCGCTGCCCACGCTGCCTTGACGACCTCTGCATCACGGTCGCCGAACGAGATCAAGAGGGCACGAATGATATCTTGGTTATACCGCGAGTAGTCCACGCTAGAGCTAGTGAAGAATTTGGCGAGTCGTGATGCTGTTACAGCACGTTTGTGGTGGTCGTCATTCTTAACCAGCTGCAGTAAGACGTTCATTACCGTATTGAGCCCGTCGTGGTCGTCTATCGACTGTATAACCGTGTCGAACGAGTCCTCGAGGTCGGTACGGAGCTCGTCGTCCTTGGCATTCACAATATTGTCCATGAGAGAATTGATAATGCTCGGTAGGCGCCGGTTCATAGCAGGGCCCGCCACCCGAGACAGAGACGCGAGCGCCTTGGCGTTGAAAGTGGAGATAGGGGGAGTGAGTAGTGTCGGGATGAGGTTCGGCAAGATGATGTTAGACCTGGTAGTCTCGGTGAGGAGGGTCAGGAGAGCGGATAGAGCATTGTCTGCCTCGTCCTCAGAGCGTAGCAGGTTAAGAAGGTGCGGTAGCACTTGGTCGACGGCTCGTTTGCCGATGATCTGCTGCAGCGAGTCGAACGCCTCGGCAGCGGCTTCTCTGACATCCTCGTCGGAGTCTATCAGAGCCGTCCGCACGACGGATATTAATGTCTTCTCGTGGTCCTCGAGGGCCTCGTCTGAAGCGGACGCGATAAGTTCCTTGAGTGCGAGACAGATTCCTTGCCTTGCGTTCGTATCTATCGAAGTCTGGAGGCCTTCTTCGAGCGTTGGAAGCAGGCTTGATAGGACGCCGTCGCCAGCCTTCCGGATTAATTCTCCCAAGGCATTGCTGGCGATCACCTTGTGTTCC